CATCCTTTGTAGGGTGCTGCTTCTAATGGAAATACATTGCCAGCATTGATGTTCTGTTGACTCACTGGTCAGTTCCCATCTATAATTTCCCACTGCCCAGCAATGCTCTGCTTTCTCTAAGTTTACATTTTGATTTCTGGGTAGAGCAGTGGAACAAGTGGCCAATTCATCGTTACCCTAAAAAGGAAGGGTTGGAATGAATAAACCTATTGTTGGAGGGCACCATCTATTTGCCAAATTCTCTTCACAGCAATTAACATGACTACATCTAATTGATAAAAGGTTCAGGGATATAGCTAAGGACTTGTTAGGAATTTTTGTTCCTTGATGAGTTTTACTGCTGGAGTCTGAATTATAGATCTTTTTTTGCATCTGTATTTACAAGGCTAAAATTTTATTATTTTTCTTATTAGAGGTTAATGAGTTTGAGTATTTCACATTATCTTTGTTGTAGCTACCAGGTTTAATCTTGAAGATCATTTATTACAAAAGTAGAGTAAATGATATGTTGAAAACAATATAATAGTCTGGATGACAACAAGAACAAAAAAAAGTTTAAGCCACATATCAAGCCTTTAGTTCTCTATACAGCATAATAATCCAGACACATAATAATGCCATGTCTGCTTTAATTGGCTTTGGAAAAATAACCTATGAATTAAAAAACAGACAAGCTGCAGGGTGACATTTAAATTTAGGCAGATCACTAGTGCCAGGGAAATGCAGTGAAAGAAAGATGGTTGGTGTGTGATGAGCTCGATGCAGTTCCTCACCAGGAGCCATCAGCAGCCACACACCTGCAATTCTCAGCTGCTCTGTAGTTAAGTATGAGCTCAACAAAGGCTGAAAACCACTGGTGAACTGGTGTTTGTCCCCTCCTTCAAGGCATTTCTCATCTCATACTTCATGCCCACCCTGTGCACAATCATGTGCCAGGCAGCACGGGACAGGGGAAGCACTGTGTGCTGCAAAAGCAGAAAAAGGGAGATGGGGGAAAGTGCTGCAGAACAGCTTCCTTCCAAATTTCTGCCAGATAATGCAGGTAGGTCTCTTCTGTCTGCTTCAACGTTGGGTAGCAGAAAGGAGACCAGCTTGCCATTGTGCAGGCAACTAGAGACATCGTCATGATCTCTGCAAAAGGTGGAGGTCTGGCTCCCCTTCCACCTGTGATATGGGTGTCACCCCAGTGACTCTCTTCCCCATGGCACAGGAGAAGCTCCTTGGGAGAGAGGTGAGGCAACCACTGATCCATCTGGCCAGAGCAGTGTGGTCCTTGCTGCCCAGTCACATGTGCATCTTCTCTCCCAGCCATGGCCAGGGCTCTGGGTCAGGGCACCTCTGACTGCCCTGCAGAATTCAGCCCAAGTGCTGAGCACAGGCCTTGGAAAACAGGGAAAACAAACTTAAAAGGGGGAAAAACTGATGTTTCTATTAACTGCAGAGAGGCCTTGCACTTAGAGAATGTGGCAGGCCTGCACTGAGTATGGAGATGAGTGTAATACCTCTGATGTTTGCTTTGTGTGTTTGGATTGCAAGCTCTTTGGCCCAAGGACTGTGTCTCATCATGTATTTACACAGATCCCAGCACAGCGGGTCACTGGTCTCAGTAGGGGCCTCCAATCTCAAGTGATAATAATGAACTGGCTTTCTTCTAAGTGTTAGTTACCCAAACAATGCTGTGTTCCATTGTGCAGCATTGTTTTTAATAATTCTTTTTTCAGGTCACATGAAATAAAAACATTGTCCACCCAAACACTGAGGCACAATATGAGTGCTCCTCTCCTGCTGGGAAATAAAAATTCAAGAGTTTCAAATACCAGTGCTTCCTGCCCCCTTTAGTCACTTTGAGGACTTGTGTCTGATGATAAAATGCTTTAAATCCATTTTAAACCTTGTCTAGACTGGCATTCCTTGTCTGGATCTTAGCAACATAACAAAGCTTGCTTTGAAAGTCTCTTTGAGAGCCAACCCCCAGTTCATGTAGTTGATACCTATGTGAAGAAGCCCAGTTTATTTGTATAACAGTTGCTTGAATGCATGTTTGCAGAATCTAGCCCAACATCCTTTAAAACATGATTGAACTTTGAAGCTGAAGAAGTCTTTGGGAAGACTGCAAACCAATCTGGTTTTTTAACTAAGAGATGCATTTTATTTAGGGAAAAAAACCCACAGAAGGCAATCCAGAATCTCCACTAAACTCATTTTATTGGAAGCAAAGATTTATTTTTTTTATGCACTTGTATGTGAAAGGTCTGTGTGGTTTTTTCTTCTGTACTGAACAGCATTATAAGAAGTTGATTGTGCTTGCAGCTATGTACAAGACCTCTCTATCTTTAGTATGGTGAGATGCTAGGAAAGGCATTTTGGGTCTTATCTGATTGTTTTGCAAAGCATACACAGTTGCTCTCAACCCAAACTACATGATGAAAATGAATGCTTCTACTTCAGTAATGAGGATCAGGCAATGATGCCTTCAGCATGAAACTGCCCAGTGTAGCCAAGGCATAATTTTATTATCTCAGATGAAAGACAAATATGACCTCATTGTATTTTGTATGAAAAACATTATTTTGAGCCTGTCTGGTTCCTGCAAGCTTGCTGAGCTGTGTTATTCAGTAATGTTTGGCATATGCTAACTTTTTCTGAGGCTGGTGTAGAAAGAAAGAAAATAAGGCCAGGTTGGAGCTGCCATCTATTTCCATAGTTTTATTCTTCCCCTTTGAGTTCTTTGTCAGACAGCTGCAGTCTGCCACAGTACAACTCCAGTTGTTTTGTAAGCTGCAGAGGGTTGAACATCTCACCTTCACAGCCCTTCTCACTGCTTGGATTGTGGGAACTGGATTTTGGCACGGATTAAACATTAATATTGCCATGTTCACCTCCATTTAGGATGAAAACAGAAAGAGAGAAGCTCTCAGGTTTAGGGAAAAAGTTGTCTAAATTACAACTTCAGTTTTCTGATAATCCATAAATAATACTTTTTTCAAGGCTGATGCCTCATTTTGGTATGTTAAAATGGAATTGCCGTGTTTGAGTCCTGAGTTTGGGAATCCTTAGAGTGTTTTCTAATTTTTTGTTATTATTCTTGGAAATATTTGCGATGAAATAGGAAAGCTCAGTTTTCATCTACTGTTACTTATAGAAAATCTAAGACCAAAATTACAATATGTTGAATTGCAAGGCAAACTCCTGTACAAATACATTCCCTTTTTCTCCACTCTTGTTTCCTTGTTTACTGGGGGAAAAAAAAAAGTGAGAAGTGTATTTCCCTACATTTTCTTGAGTTTCACTGTAAAGGAGGGATAAAGGAAGAAATACAAATGCACAAATGGTTTCCAAAAACAATCACCTTAAATTCAAAATCTAAGATCCATTGTAATTCATCAATGTTTAGTTTTCCATAATACTTTTGGAAATGCCCATATTTTTTGATCATCTGTTCTTTGAATTACCTGATACTTCCAGTGGAAATTTTCTAAGTAGCTCTACTTGAGTCAGTTGAGTGAGGAGCCCCTAGAACAATTAAAAAAAAAACAGAAACAAAAACAACTATATGGACTTAATGAGCAACAAAGTTAGTGATCTGTAGCATTACCCAAGTGAGTAATTTTGTTTCATTAATGCACCCTAAAGCACCAAGCTGTTTTGTCAATGGGCACTGCAGGGCCATTGCAAGGCTCAGAGAGACAGTTGTGTTACCAACCGCCGTGTAAGCAATAGGTTTACCAACAAGGAGGGAGAGAGAAAGTAGCTCAGTGTAGGAAGAAAATTAAAGACCATCTATTATTGTCACAGAAGCCAGTGGCAATACTTGTAAAGATTCTAGCAGAGCAGGGTCACACATCAGTTTGTTATGGCTTTTCCTACTTCCAGTTTCTTGGTTGCTGTGTTTTTTTAAGAGGGCAGCTTGATGCAAAGAGCATCTTGGTTTGAAGGGGGAAGGAAAGCATGTACCTGGCTTACTTGAATCCTTCTTGGAGGAAAGTAGAAAAGCAGATAGCAGAAACAGAGGCAAAGCATTGTAACTTCTAAGCATCTCTGGATCACTCAATATGGGACATGCACAGCATATGATATATTAAGGTGAAGTATTGAATATCCATAAAGGACTACTAGCAAATAGTGTCAATTTTCAAACACTTTGCTTTGTCAGCTTCACAAATTTAAAATCAATCATCAAAAAGCCTCTGTATAGATCAGCTGAAGAGACATAAAACCTTATGGTTATCTCCCTGACAAAAAAGTTGAAATTAAAGATGAGTTTATAAAGACTCAGACTGGCAGAATTCTGTAGTGCTAAAATCTGGGGTCATCCAACCTCTCAGATTAGAAATAAATGCTGAGGAAAAACAATGACACCCAGTGCACTGCTAATAAATACATCTTAGAGGACAGTTGAACACATAGAAAAATAGATTTCACAGAGAGGCTTATTTTCAGCATGAATGCTATTTTCTCACTGCATTATCATAAACATGAGAGGAAAAAAGCTATAAATAAAAAATTCTTGGGCAGTCCCTGAAGACTTGTCAAAAATATGTAGTTTTTGTACACTGCAGTGTAAAAGTATTCATTAAAATTAATTTTTAAAATGCCCTGTCCAATATTAGTTGCCTGATGTCCTTCCTTTGATCATAAATTATAAATGAACTGGCAAAAAATGAAGAAACCATGATTCCATTAATGAATTATTTAAGTGTGATTGTTAGTTTTTGCAATCATTGGCCTAATAAGTCCAGGCTTGTGACACTGGAGTGTTTCATACTTGAGGGTGATGGTGATGGTAATGTTATTAACATTATCATGTGTCCCATGAATCACAAACCCAAACATCTCCTTTGGTGGCTCCGCAGTGGCACAGCCACTGGAGCTCTCACTGGGTCTGCACTGCAGGAGAGGGAGGTGGCACTGAGGGCAGTCCAGGGTTCACTGTGGGGCTCCCTCCAGGCAACACTTTAAAAGAGAGAGGAGCACATTAAGAGAGGATCTTCTCCCCACAGCAGCCTGCCAGTGCCAGCGGCACACGGCTCCGGCTTGGCCCATTCCAGCGGCGGCTCCGGGAGCTCCAGCGAGTCCGAGAGCAGCTCCGAGTCCGACTCCGACAGCGAGAGCAGCTCCAGTGACAGCGAGTGCAACGAGGAGTCGCGCAGTGCCACGCCAGAGGTAAAGCCACACTCAGCTCCTCCCCAGCGGGGGCTTGAAGGGGGAAGCGTGGAGGGGAGCGAAATCCTGCTCCCTGTTAGGGAGATGTTGGAGTTCTGTGCTGTTTGATGCCATTGACTTTTTTTTGCCTTTACGGTTTCACATGTATGACCCACATAGTCATTCCAGCTTTTGGAAGAATCTTTCTGGCCTACATTTGAATTGCTTTTAAGAAATATTTAGATTTTTGCCAGTAGCTAGAGAAGATTTTATTGACACAGTATTCAGCTGGGACTAAGGAAAGGCAACATGACAAAACTATGTCTTCAGGGACTAGCTAAACTTTTTAGTTGTATTAAATTTCTCCAGGGCCACATTGTAAACCAGATAAGGAAGCCTAATTAACCATAAATACTCCATAAATACTCCCATAAAACTAGCAGTCACCACTAGTTGACTGAAATAAAAGGGTATGTTAAAAAAAGTCCTCTTTTAAAGGGAAAAGCACTGCTTCTGTCTGAGATTTGTTCCTTGTCATTCAACCTGCAGCCTGAACCCCCCTCAACAAACAAATGGCAGCTGGATAAATGGCTTAATAAAGTGAACCCCCATAACAAGACCATCATCAACAATCAAAATGAACCCCACAGCGAGACCAGCTCCCAGGCCCAGAGCAACCAGCAGGCCGAAGGGCCAAACAAAGGGAAGCTCAGCAGCAGCCTGCCCCCGAGCGATTCCAAAGACCGGGCGATCCTTAGTCCCATCCGAGAGAAAGCCAAACCACGGGTTGCCCAGAAAACCCCAGAGGCAAAAAGCTCCAAGCAGAAGTCACCAGCTCATAATGAGCCAACTTCACAAAGGACTACTGGGAAAAAGCAACCCAAAAAGGTAGAAAGGACTTCCAGTGTAGAAGAGTATAACTGGCCCAAACCAAATAATACCAGCAACACTCCCAAAGAAAAAGACACACAGGAACCCCCCGAGCAGCCAAAGGTTCGAACTAAAGCAGCAGTTGGGAAGACCGCTCCGAGGAAAGAACCACGGACTAGCACAGGTCTCACTTCAGAGAAGAAAAAGTACAGAGGCCCCAGCAAAATTGTCCCCAAGTCCCGGGAATTCATTGAAACGGATTCATCTACTTCTGACTCGAACACAGACCAGGAGGAGAGCTTGCAGGCTAAAGTGTTGCCAGCCTGCACTGGGTCTGGCAGCAGCGTCAAAGTGAAGGACTCTGGCAGTAACATCCTCAGTGTAAGTAGTTTAACGAGCAATGGCAGCAACACATCCATTGACCAGACCAGCAACGACCTGGAGGAGCAGCTCTTTTCTCCCATCCCGATCGTACAAAACGAACTTCTGTCCCCACTGAGAGAATACGAAGAACTCAAATCTCTGTGGGTGAAAATAGACCTCAGTTTACTCTCTAGGATACCTGGACAGGAGACTTTTGAGACCACGCCTGTGAAAAGCGAACCGAGAGAGGCAAATGTGAAACACAGGCGACCATCTCGAGAGTCCCCGACCCCAGCAGCTGAAAAACCCTCCATAAAATCCAAAAGGAAACACAAGGTAAGTTGTTTTCATTGTTTAGAGGAAAACAGTGAGTTTCTGAGCACCCTCGGGGTCAGGACCAGAACCAGTGATTCGTCACTGCACCTGCAGCAGGGCTGTGGGGAGGCATCACAGCACTGAGGCTTTACTGGTTTTACAAAGGACAGACACTTACAAGTGCACCACAAATTAACATCAGAAACTAGCAAAAAGCAAGCCCCAGCTGACAAAATCAATATACAATGTATTTTTTTTTGAGATTTGTCTTACAAGATTTTTCACTGTATTTGCTCACTTGCCTATTAATTTCCAGTGTTCTGTAATCTGCAGAAAGATCAAAATGATGAGTTCTTATTAGTACAGGTTCAGCCATACTCAGAAAATGTGACTTCTATTTGGAAGGCATTATGAATTAGGATTAAGGCATTTCACCACTGGCTTAAACAGGCAGGGATTCATGAAAGTCAGTGGAATGCTGCTTGCTTATGCTCCCGGTGAATTTAGTTTTATATTGTTTTGTGGTATAAACAAATGGGATTCACAGAAATATAATTTGCCTAACTAGCTACTCTCTCTACATGGCTTCCTCAAAAAGAAAATATATTTTGACTGAAGGCTTTGCTTTTTATCGTGTGCTTTAAGTTATTTATGCCCAAGGGCATCCTATCTTGTGGGATATGACCTTGCACTTCAAACTAAATGTGTTTTCAGAAAAAACCCTGAAGTTTTATATCATGAATGAATTTTTGTAGTCAGTTTTTCCATCTGAAATGCTTGTGCTCTGGTCTGTCTGAGAGAAGTCATCATAGCGTATTTTATTTATACCCCAAATTTTACAAATCTTTGTGAATGTGACTTCAGCTTTCTGTTCTAGTGGACTTCTTGAAATCCTGAGTTTGAGCAGTCCAGTGGTAGGAGAGAGTTAATACAAGACAAAGACAGAAGATGCCAGGCAGACACAGGGTCTGCTCCCCTGCCTACATGAGTCACTGCACTGGCTCCTTCCCTGTTGAATTAAGTGAAAATAATCACATGAGTAAACTCAGCAGGTTTTTATTCAATTTATATTCTAGCTGTACGCTTAAGGTAGAGATGTAAGAAGGAAGGAGAAAAGAAGAGGAGGAAGAAGTATAAATGTCCATGCTTATGTGTATGTATAAGTACACTGGGGTGCATATTAACTATACAAAAAAATTCTTGCTAGGTAATTCTTGCTAGTGTCTGTATGATAGAGAAGGAATCTTGACTAAAACACAAGTGTAGTATTGGCAACTAAACTGAGAGTTCCCAGGAGATAAAAAAAATAACGGGTTATATGAGAGTTGGAACCTCCTAATTTCATTAACCGAGACTGTGAATCAGAAAGTAACAAAATGCACAGTCTTGCTCTGGGCCTGTGCAAACATAAGCTGGGCTCTGAATCAGCCCCTTCAGTTGCAGTATGATTGTTCATTGCTACCCAAGGGGAAACAAGCCAATTAGGATGACTTGAGGGTATATCAACAGTTAAAGCAGGGTAGGGAGAGACTGATTTGCGTTTCTAAATCATGCTATTAAAAGATTTATTTTAGCCATCTACTAGTGGGCTTGAAGGCTGATATGAAGGTTCCAGTGACAGAGCAATAATCAGCTTTGCTTGTATCATCCTAGTTCAGGCACAAAAGTCATGCATCAGGGAGTCTTCCAAAGCAAATTTAAACGAGCTGTTACAGTTAATGACTACCCCAGCTCAGTTCTGTACTCTTAGTCCTGTTAGGAATACTTACTCAGGGAAGTTTTCCCACCAACTTCTGTTAGGTCAATGAGTAAAAGCTATTTACTTCAGTAAGGTTTGGTGCTATCTAGTCATTGCATCTGAATTATTAATTAAGTTCCAATGCACTACAGAAGATAACTTCAGCACGTGAGACATTTTGCTTCCTAATTATCTGCTGCGTCACTTGTTATATGACTTCATGTCATGTTTGGAGCAGGTTTAGCCCTGATTTCCGGTGATTTTCGTTTCTCTTAGACCAGTATTTTAATTCCTGCTACTATAAAGGAAATTCAGAGATTCCTGAGACCCTCTTAATAGCCAGTGAAGTTGTGTATAAATGCTGGATTTTTTATGCTCTACCTCTTTTTATTAAAGCAGACAGAAGGCCTGGACACCTTTGTTGAAAGCAAGAAGCCACGCCTGGAGGACCCTCCAGCTTCATGCCTGCTCCCACCTTGTATCTCTCCGATACCGAACCACAGAATAACCAGCACTAAAGAGTAAGTTCTGTTTTTTTGACATAACATTCATGAGGGATTTCACAGTACTGTTCAGTAAATGTCTTTGGTGTAGATGGGCTTTATAGCCCATAAGCGTAAGTGACACAGCATTGGTATTCTTTTCCATCAGGAACAGAATCCATATGGTTTTGTCCATCCTTCTGATGGACTGCAGGAATTCAGCATGCTGCCACAATCCTGCTGTACTCTTCAACACACATTGCATTCTCTCACTGTTCTTTCTTGCCTCAGTCATCTTTAACCTCTGTGGACAGAGAATCTCACTAAAAGTGGGATTTATTTGATTGCCTGGAATTTAATTTTTTAAATCATTTTCATAAGAGATAGTTCTCAGTTTTATTGAATGAAATAGTGACTTTGCCACTCTGTTAAGCATCTCTTATTCTTTTAACTGTGTATCCAGAAATGCCAGGGGTGACCATCCTAAATGTTTCAGACATACGTGCTCTGTATTTCAGCAGACATACCATCTGATAAGTTTGTGCCTTTTGGACTGTCTTACATGGCTATAATGCTTGAGCAAACAGGTGCCACCTGAATAATGATTCTGATTATAGAGCCACAAGATTAACATTCTGTAAATAACCAAAGAGTCCAATTCCCTTCTGTTAAAATTTTGTGCTTTTATGGTTTTGAGATGAGGTAATTCTTTCTGCTTTGGGACAAGCAAAAAATCAAAATCACAATGTGCTTCTGAAAACAATTTGAGGGTAGTAGTAGTTAAATTTAGATAAAGCACACTAATTTTAAAACCATTAAAGAAGGTTGACCATCATTTTGTTTATACTGCTGTAATTACAGAGTAACTTCAGTCCTTGAACTAACCCCTCATTCTACCACTGAGAAAATCAGAATTAGAGTCTGGAAGAGGCAGATGAGTTGAAAGTTTCAATGTCGTCTGTAACGTGTTGCACATTTGATAAACATCCTGATGGGTGTTGCCACATTATCATTGCTAGAAACACAATGAACAGAGATATATTGCTGAAGGAATCAAGGATTATCCATCCCCAACACCTCCACAATCCATTAAAAAAAGTCTTTCTATTCTTGTCACCAGCAGGCCCTAAGGATCCACCCCCAACCTGATGTTTCTTAATTTGAGCTTGTTTTCCAGGTCATTAATTTGATTCCTCAGAGCTTTCAAGCCTTTGGTATTCTCAGTTAAAACATAATTGTGTCCATCCATAGTTATTTCCATATGCTAGTTTTTTCTCTCATCTGCCTCAAGTTTTGAAACAAAATTTCCTGACTTTTCCACCGCAGTAACTGAGACGTGGCTCGCACTGCAGTTGTTATAAGTGTCTTCTGAATTTGCTTGAAACAAACTCAATATTTTTTGATAATTCAGGTCTTCAACCCCCAGAGACCTGCAACTGAATGTAGATCACTGTATTTCCCAAAAGATCAGGGAGCTGGATGAACTGCATGAAGATAAATTTCTGGAGAGCCTCAGATTGTTTTTAGGCAGTCGGGAATGGTTCTCTTCTCCAGAGGGTAAAGTTTTAAAGGGAGGCAGAAGAAAGTCCACTGTTCAAGGTCATGGGGGAAAATAACACTTCGGGGGTAAAAGGTTGAAAGACAGGCTTTGCCATTTGCTCCTTTATTCCCAAAGGTTCTAAGTTTTCTTTCAGAACTCTTAAGTCTCTACATAAGGACTTCGAGGAACGAGGGTGGTTCAGCTACAGGTGTGGTGATCTTCATCCCTTAAGAAGGTGTTAAGTTCCAAGATGTTCTCACTCACTAGGAACCTTAGGTCTCTCCCTTTAGAACTTGATCCCTGTGCCAACAAGCCAAGTTCCCCAAAGCAGACTTCAGAGATTTGCACTGGGCTTTTTTATTGGTACAAGAGTGTTTTGACAGAAAGACCATGATCTCTGGGCCAAAATTCGGAGACATTCAGGAGTCTGGAGGAATCAGGGAAAGAGAGGTCACACCTGTGCTTTTGCAGCTCCTGTTGGCTGCCTTGCTATGGTTTAGGCTTTTGGATACATTTCTCTCATAATCTTTCCTTAAATATATGGGCTCAATAAAGCAAGAAAAGATGCACAATTAATTTTTAAAGGGTCACATGTCTAATAAGGCGATTAAATACCTAGTTTCCACAAGTTTCTATGACCACACATACTGTTTGAGTGTAGAAATTTCAAATAAGTTGTGAGCTTAAAAGGCATTTGCACAACCAAAGAGTGGGTTTGTATTATGTAGTCATTGCATAAGCCATAGTTATCTCTCTGTTAGTTCCTTCCCTCACACACTCTGGGGCTGATGCCTTTTCCTAAATCTGACCTGACACTTAAAATATAACTTTTCATACTATTACCACTGTATTTTCCTTATTTCTGATACTTCCTAGCAAATGAAGGAATAGATGATTCAGTGTTTTGTCCGATTCATAGTAATACCTTGAAACACTGCTGCAAGGCTCGATTTTTGTCAGGTCAGCTGCCTGCTTTGCAGCAAAGGATTATTTATTTATATTTACTTGCTTGCCAGAGCAATTTTAATTTAAGCATTAATTGTATTTGCTGCTGAATACCTTTTATATCTGAATAATTGATCGGTAGACCCAGGCTAGACAGAGAACTATTCACCAACAATTGGCTGTTTGTGGCAACACAGAGAGTTATTTGGTGATGCAAACTGTGAGTCTGAATTTCAGACTGGACTCATACCAGTGAATCATGCCCACCATCTAGCAGGCATGCTGGAAGTCTGTCTGAGGCAAGCATTTCTGCCTGTTTTTCAGGATTTCCCGTTCCCTTTTGTTTGACCTTTAGCTGAAGATGCACCTGTACTTGGCAATATATATTAGCTGATCCCTTGGGGAGTCAGAGCAGTGTTCACTGGGGTTCCTTCGTGGCAGAGGCAGCCTTCACATCTCTGACAATGACTTCAGCTTCACTCAGTTGCTGCCATTTGGTCCAAGCTAATGTGGGAGTGACCTTTCCCTGTGAACCCCCTGCAGAAAGTCAGATACACCATCAATGTGCAGCATTTCATTGTGGACCAGGGGAGCAGAGGCAAAGGAAAGCCAAGTGACTGGTATAGATAGTGGCTTTGTCTCACTAACAGGCCAGAGATACCACTGCATACCACAAGGAGTGGATAAAGAAAGAGCAAAGAAAGGCAGCTTGAAATGTGAGAGTAGCTGGAAATTCTCCCTTCTTCATGCACTGACCCCTCCTTGCCTGCTTGCTTGCTTTCAAAAAAACAAACCAGGATGGAAAAAAAAAAAAGCAGATGGGAAACCTTCTACTTCCTTGATAATTGGCCTTTTCAGACACAAAAGATTAAACCCTGCAGCCACAAGACCATCAGTTCTGCTTGTAGTTTTTCCTTGCACTTTTATTGTGTTTCTCCCTAGATTTTAAATATATTTTAACTAACAATCATGTCAGCAAATTAAACCATTGAGTCTCAGTAATTATTGCAATAAATTCATTCAAAATTAGCGATTACTGCAATCAAAGACCAGTTTCTTAGGCCATTAACAGCCCAAAGCAAAGTGACAATCTGGTTAACTGCTGGTAACAACCTATTTCATGGAGGTTATTGTTAACATAAATGCTTTAGAGTAAATCTGAGGGAGGTAACATTGCTAAATAAATTATCATCTTAATTCCTGCAAAACCTCATAGGATTAAGTGGGCAATAGTGGAAGGAAATAAAAAAAAACAGACAGAATTATAACTGCATTGTTCGGGGGGGGGGGTAATGTAGAAAAAATATCCTCTAGTGGATATTTTTCCTTTGTGGTTAAGTCTTCCCACCCATAGAATGACTTGTGTTCTAGAGCTGAGTAGCTGCACCTATGCCTTGGTTTGCTCCATCTTATATTTGAGTCCAAAGATAAAGTGAACTGGTGAAGTTTTAAGTAGTGAAGTTTTAATCATGGCACCTGCAGCCTTCTTAAGTTTTTGTTGTACTACCCTCTTAATCCCTCCAGCTCTGTGTAGCACCTGAGGAATGTTGCATCAGTTGCTTTATATGTGTCTTAAATTTCCTCATGCAGTGGTAGACTTTGTGGACAGAGAATTAGCCCCAAAAATAGCCACAGGTGCGCCGAGGAACCTCACTTGTGGTGTAGGGTCAGATCCTGAATGGGACTTGTTCAGTGCCTCCCATTCTGTGTTTCTTCAGATGAGTTTGAGATAGAGCTGCAGACTCAGTTGTTCTCCCCTTTGCAGAGCTGTCCTGGGGAAAAAGAACAGCTCCACACTCATCTGTGCACAGTGGCACAGAAAACAGTTTTGCTCTGTGCTCCCACCCATGCATGCACGTTCAGGGTTCCCTGTGAAGGGCGTGTGTTTGGGGGGCAGAGGGTTTGGGTTCTGCTCCTGGGTTCATTAACTTTGTCTGCTTTGCCTCTGTACAACCCAAGAACACATGCATGCTTTGTCAGGGCAGGGCTTACCCTCCTTTGGAAAACTTTCCTCTGGAAAGAGTTCAGAGTGTTATTGTGCTATAACTATGGTAACTTGTCTGAGTTCCAAAATGCCCTTTGGGGGTCAGAAAGCTAACAGATGGAGCTTTGAGTGAGAACTTTCTGGAGGACATATTGCAGGACCACATGTGCATAAAATCAGTCTCCTCGAAGAACTGCCAGCCTATTCCAACATGGTTGCTTTCCTTTGATCTTCTTCGGGCCCATGTGTTTTCCAAGCAGGACAGCATCCATCCCTGTCCTAATGTAAGGCAATATGAATTCTGGGCTCATTTTATTTCTTCATCTGAAGATCTTTAATATCAGAGACTTTCAAATAAGATATTTTTAACTCTGCTTCAGTTGAATTAAAATAGTTTTGGGTAGACAAGCTATAAAACCTGAAACATGAGGAGTTTGTTTGATTTCACTCTGTGATTTCACAGACAGGCTAAAATATTTCTGTATCACCAAAGGCCCAAAGTAGGGGAATGACCAAAGCAGGTGTAGATATTGATACTGTTGGTGAAACTGCAGAAGAGGCCAGACTGAAATGAGAGAGCTCCAAAATAAGGAGTAAGGAAACCTGGGTTTTCTCCTCTTTTTCCTGGTTAAGGTAAGGCAAAGTAGATCTATAATTCCTGACACTGACTGAAAGTGTGAACAAAACATAAATTCTTGTTGACTTAATTTGTTATTGAAATTTTAGTCAATAATCATGAAAAGTAAATGATCATGTAGTGCAATATTAGATGTCTAACAAAAGATTAAAATTCAGGTTATCTTCATTGACTGAGCTGGGACAGTACCTGAAATAAAAATCTATGAGTAGATTAACGTGTTAAACAGTCAGTGGGGTGTTGGGTTTGGTTTTTTCTTTTTTGATGGATTGGAGTGGAAAAAGGTCTACCAACCTTTTTTTTTGTTTTTACTGTGTATCACAGCTGCCATTTCTAGCCAGCTAACAATTTCTGTACATAAAACAGACAATAGATTATCATATTACTTGAGCTTTCATGTCAAAACCACATTCATTCTCTGAATCACGTTCAATTCATCAGCCAATATTTGCTCAAGAGCTTTTGCCAGCTACAATGTATCATTTTAATATAGTGTTGAACATTGGTTTTATTCTAGAGGTTAAATAATTATTATCTTGTTATTGTTACGATTATCATTTTGCAGTTGTTTCTTTTTTTGGTTCTCATGCCGTGTGCTATTTGGGTTTTTTGCAAAGGTTGCTTATGTGGGCCCTAATCCACCTCTTAAAAAGATGCTTAATGTTAAAAACATAAATAGTCATACTTGATGTCAAAGGAAATAACCCTGTGCATAAAACTTTCCAGTACTTTGCTGAGTCAGAACCTCTATGACCTCTCAAATGAAGACTGACTCAAATTAGCATTTAAATTGAGTGCAATTTGTACTAATGCACTGCAAGTTGTCCTCCAAAGCAGAAGGGTGCTGCAGCCATTGAAATGGCAGAGGCAGCTCTTGTGTTGTCCCTGCCTGTCCCCTTGTGACTCACTCAGGATGGATTTGAGGGTACAGCTGGCTTCCCCGTAAATAAAACCTAGAGCTTTGTGCTGTGGAGGATTAAACAAGGTTCTTGAAGTGCAGCTGGTTTTATCTGTGTCCCAGGAGCAGTGGTAGCTCAGTGAAGAAGGTGACAAAGAAAAGAGAAGAGAAGCTGTTCCCTCCTCCGTTATCCCCACTCCTGGATGAGCCTGTGCACCGGCGGCACAGCAGTGACAACAGCTCCTTCAGCCAAGAGACCACTGTCACAAACACCTCCCAGACCAGCAGCTCTTCCTCCTCTGTCTCTAAACACAGAAAGAATGAAAATAAATCCTCTTCTAACCCCAAAGGAATCTGTGTAAGTAACCAGCCTCGACTGTGGGAAGTGAACAAGATAAAATAAAGTTAACTTAGCTTTGTTCTGTTTGATTTTTTTTTTCCCTACAGTATCTATTTCTAAATGCTTAGGTAGCCACACTCAAGGGCAGTGAGTAGTAGAGCAAGGCATAAGCAACTCTTGCAAGTTCCATTTTTAGGTCAGCATTAGGCATCTATGTGGTGTTGTCTATCACTCCTTAAAACACCAGGTCCCTGAGCCTCAGAGAAGAGCCTTTGCAGCCACAAATTAGCTGCAATTAGTATTAACTATGTAGCTGCAACACACACATTTTGAAAATAAAACTTTAGGACTATCACCTGAATAATTGTCCCAAATTCTCAGCCAGAAATAGGCACTGTAGTTCTACTGAATATTGCAGCCTAAACTAAACAGACAAAAAAAAAAAATCTAACAAAAAGCTAATTGTCCGTGGCACACTCAGCATGTTAATATCCTCTCTCAGGTTTATTTACACCTAATCTCCATGAATGATGTATAAGCCTTTAGATACCATGTAAATAGGGTCCGTCCCCCCCCAAAAAACATCATTCTGTTAGGGTAATCTCCCCATCAGTGGCTTTCATATAGACAATTCCTTCCTGCTTGCTTTTCACCAGATTCAGATGACTTTTTGCTGAAAACACATGAAAAAGAGCCAGAACTGCATAGGAAATTCATTAAAACAAAGTAAAATTTTACATCAGTTTGTCATCCTCTTTTTGGCTTTAAAAGGGAAACATTAGGATTTTGGCCCATTTTAGAAAACAATCCTCCCTCAAGAGTTTCAAACACATCATTTAGTATCAAACTGTATCTTAGTGTCGCTGTCAAGATTAAAAGACGAGAAGAGAATTCTGCCACAGAAAAGGACATGCACAGCCCCATTTTTCACAGTTCACCACTTTGTGAGAGGTTGTTACCCTGCACTGTAATAGTAAAACTCACAAGCTGCATTGGATCATAGGTGACAAATCGCTTCACCTTATTCATTCATCCCTGTTGCTTTCTGATATCATTGTGTCACTTCAAGCTGCGACAATAATACACACGCCTTCAACTGAAATCAATGCCAAAATGAACTGCATATGTCAGCATATAAACAATGCTATGTAAACAGCAGGGCCTCTTCCTCTCATCCCAGCATCTCGAGTCAGATTTATCCTTGGTTAATCTATTACCTTGATAGATGAAATATTTTTCCTCTAAATAGTTTTCTCCAAATAAATTTCCTCTAAAATTCTTTTCCTAGTTCATTGGTTCGTCTGTAATTTAGTTTATCTGGTTGTGGACCAACCTTGCAAGTTGCAATTGCCTGATTTAAATGCTTCTGTTATGCTGGTGGTTTTAATCAAAGTCACAACTCCTGACTTCTGCTTTCCATTCTTCTCTCTGTAGCAAGAGTGCAGGAATTGTTCCCTGATGAAATCCAAGCTGACTCTTCAGTCACCTTAACAGTTAGCTCCTAATAATAAAGAAAAAAATGTTATGTTAGTGATACACCTTGAAGGAAATTGAGTTTACCTCCAGCCCTCCTGCATTAGATTTCCTCACCCTTGCTTTAACCAGTGTCTCTAGTTGGTAACATTGTGATATCAACTTAAAAATTACACCTATAAGTGTAAATTATTCAGGTGAGGACTCTGGAGTGCAGTCATGATTCCTAATTAACATATTAGACTCATGTTATGAAGAATGGAAGGGTGGTTTGGTGAGGTAACCTGGATGTAGTTGGGTATCTGTGAGTGCTACTTTGTGTCTTAGCCTTCTGTTTGTTTGAAGGGATTTTGTTTTCATTTGGGGGTGGGGGGTGTGGATGGGAGCACTGAAATTGTTGGAAGGTGTTTGTTTGAACTGTGAATAACAGTCCTGTGTTTTCTAGGAGGAAGAATCTCACAATACACCAACAGCCAACACTCTTCTTGACACCAGCCATTTAGAACCAGACATCTGGTCTGCAATGCCAACACTTTCCAATGGGAATTCTGAGCCCAGAAGACCCAAAATAACATTTGATGATGTGTAAGTTTTATTGACTCTGTGCTAGCTGCATGTTCTGTAGCTGGGATTTCCTTGCAAGCAGAGCTCCCAGGGAAAGAGAGTTTCTTGGGCACCTGTGTGGATAGTGCTGCACAAAGGCATACACAGTTTTAATCTTCACAAATGAACTGTTGTCACTGATTAATGAAGACTGTTGATAAATGTTTTCAGATCATGAATGTTTGTTCACGGTAATTCTTCTTCATCTTTTTATTTTAGCTCCTCTAATGGAAACTTCTTATACTTAATTAGTTTAAAATATTTTTCCCTTTCCTCTGTTCAGCACACATTAATGGGTCCTTTGGGTGGCCAGTTTCTACAGCTACTTATTTTACATTCTGGTCACCTATCATATCTTTGCATACAGCAGCTTCAGATTGATATCAGGTTAAGATTTAAAGAGATAAGTGGGTGTATGTGTCAAACTTGTTCTTGAAAGCAGTCAGCAAATGTTTTAAAAAATGTTTGTCCAACTGTGTGAAAGCAAAGACTTTGAATTAATTGATTTTGTCTCTCTAGGCTTCACAATGCGGATTATTACATGCAAGAGGCTAAGAAGCTGAAGCATAAAGCAGATGCATTGGTAGGTTATCACTGGAGTTTTTTGTTCCTGTCCACTGTGGAACTCAGTATTACAAAAATGGACATTCTGCACATGTTCTAAAACCGAGAGGAACCCTGCTGTTGGGCATAAAGTATGCCTCAGACTGTGCTCCATAAACCCACTGTGCACAAGGCAAACCCTGAACACCATTCCTAGCCTTTAAGTATTTGTTCCCAAAAAAAAGAAGCTCCTTACAATAGCTGGTGTTTCATCCAGGGAGGAGCAACAATCATGCTGTTTGTGAAGGATGCAAGATAATTTCATGAAAGTTGATGTATATTTGAAATTTGTTGCTCCTCTTCACTTTGGGCCTAAAGCAGAAGTGTTGAAATATTCCATAGCAGAAAGTCAGGACAAGCAAATCACCTTCCCACCCCATTATCATGTGGTAAAACTGCTATTTCCAATCCAATTGTTTAAAATTTGCAACCATTCATTTTTACGTAGTACATTCATTTTTATTGCATGCTGTTAGGTTGGTAGAGAAAGCCTTCCCAAAAAACCTTGCAATGAGGGAGTTCAGTGCTGGGAAAGCTTTTTCTCTCATTTTATTCCACATGAAATTCCAATAAGATTGGCCCAATTCTGCAAGGTGTTTTGATTTTGATAAAACTGCATAGTCTGGCAGATTATATTCTGTCAGGGTTTGTTCAAGCTGAACTTTTGCCAGCCCTGAAGTGCCTTTAATAGACATTTGCTTTGTAGGTAGGTACTTTGCTCCTATAAGGTACATAAGGTGCAAAACAGCAGCTCATTTAGGCAGATTTAGTGGAACTTGGCTCTTAGTTTAAGTAAGATGTCTAAAATGGAGTGTGGCCATCTCTTTGCCCCCTCAAAATTACAACTGAAAAGGAACTGGGTGATCATTCACCTCTCACTTTATTATTTGTGGGGATTTCGCATGCATATTCTGTCATTCCACATTAGAGATTTTAGGCTTGGGAACCAGTGTTGTCTAAAAAAAAACCAAACCCCAAACAATCACATGCTATGTTTTTAAAAAGCAAACCAGCCAAACAAAAAAGAAATGGCTCTCCCTCTGCTGTCAGCGAGAGCTAACATGTCAAGCTGCCTGCTTCAGCTCTCTGGGCTCCCTTTGGGTTGGGGCACAGTGTTTCCAAGTGTGTGTTCTGTGAGAGGCGGGTTCAGGTTTTGGCAGCCTGCTCTGACTGTCAGTAAGGTGACAGTCATCCCTCCCGACGTGCCCGTTTACAGGAGGTGGCCTGATGGCTTCTAACCTGGCTCGGCAGAGCTCGGGCAGGAAAGGCTGGCAGGAGCAGGCTGACAACACCTCCCACAGCTGGGTGACCTTTAAACAAAATACACGTGGTTCTGGCACAGGGATACCTGCTCCACACAAGCAAATATTTACAGGCTCAGGCTCCCGATGATCTCAACGTGCCATGTCAACCCAGCTCCCTCCACAGCCTGACACACTCAGAAAGTGTTGACCTGTCTCCTGTCCTCTTCCCTTTGCTTGTGCCTTTCAGAATCAGGGGTGTTTCTCAAGCAGAACTAAGAGGAGCAGGCACAGCACATCCCGCCACTGCCTGCGGGCAGGCCGTGCCTGTCGCACGCAGTTTGACACCCCGAGTGCCCTGGTGGGACTGTGAGGCCATCCACTGCAATCAACTTGTTGGCAGACATAAATATCCATGAACAAAGAATCTGCTTTTTCTTTCTGCTAGTTAAATCTCAACTTTTTTTTTTTTCCCCACCCAACGCAGCTGCACACAAGTTATCTGCGTGTAACACATTTGCTGTGCGGTCCTAGTGTTACTTGTCCTATGGAAACAATTGCTGCTGGTTACTTGGTGCTGACATGACAAAGCACAGGCAGCATTGAAAGATGTGTTGCAGTGGCTGGAAAGATAATGCATGTGACCTCAAAATGTGTCAGCAAATGTTAATGAGATTTGTGGCAATGCTGTTCCTGAGCTTGTACGGAAAATAGATTTCTGGTGAAGGGCAGGACATTTCATGTCTTACGAGAGCAACCCCATGGAAACCTCTCCTTGTCTGGGGCTGCTGTAAGGGATCAACTAATCTGGGTGGGCTGCTGCAGTGGCAGCTGACTGTACCTTATGGAAGAGATCTTGGAGACCTGACTGTGTTCCCAACTGAGATGTGATGAGCTGGAGTCATTCCACCTACTCCACAGGATCGGATCCCATTTCTGGCTTGAACTCTGTGTCTGCACTAAATCTGCTTGCAGCCAGATTCGTTTTTCATACCACAAAAAGTCATCTTTGGAAAGCTTTTTGTCTTCCAAAATGAATTGAAATTCTTTCAAAGTGAAAAAAGGAATTTGAAGAATATGCTGAGAAGCAGCCATTGGAATAGACAGAAAGCAGTCAGAAACATTCCCCTTTTCTGATCATTCAGTTAATACCTAACAATTATACAAAGGCTTTGTATGTAATCAATGCACAAGACCAGAACTTGAAATTAAAGGTGTGCAGAGGGAACTAGCTATAGGGATGGTTTAGAAGGAGCCATAAAGACAAATATACTGTTATCTTGGACGAATAATAAGTGTTATGCTTAATATGTTGCTAAAATAGGCTTCAGTTTTGTGAACAGAAACATATGCGGATGCATCAAAAATATTTTGATAGAGACATAGAAGGAAATTTTTAAATTATTTAAAGTATATTGGATCTCCTATATCAAATGCCACATTAGTAGAATTCTTACATCCAGCTATCAAAAACTGAAAATGTTAAATACTATTATAAAATACGTACTATAAAAATGTCATATATAATATTCATTACACATAAAAAAAGAAATCAGTATGTCTAAGTCAGTTTAATCACAACCATTATGAGGGCTAAAACCTTTTGCAATAAAATCCTAGTAAAATGAAATATTTAGCAGTGCTATATTGTCTCCCTTTTTTTCCCCCTGCTCTTTCAGTCATCACATAAGTGATGAGATTTTTTTTTTGATCAACAGTTAACACAGAGTATGACATCAGACAAATGCCATGGAGTTGTTACTTAACCCTTGCATAGTGACATTCAAACTTAGTTCATCTATAAGGGAGTGATGTAGATGTGTTCAAACATGCTTAGTGCCTCTCCTTGCCTGTGTAAATCCATGCCTGTCAGTGGACATAACATTGACTTTCCTCTGTGGAGCATCCAGCCACATACTGCCTGAAAAGATCTGGTAAAAAATTAGGCCCTGCCTTAATTACTGTATGAAATCATTCTTAATTACCAGTGTCGCTTTGCTTTCATCCTAATGCTAGTGTTCCTTTGTATGATGATCTGCCTACCTAGAAATTAAAGCTGAAGGATTTTCTTGACGGTGTCATTCCCATTTCAGCTGGAGAAGTTCGGTAAAGCCGTGAATTATGCTGATGCTGCCCTCTCCTTCATCGAGTGCGGGAACGCTATGGAGCGAGATCCATTAGAAGCTAAATCTCCATACACCATGTACTCAGAGACTGTGGAACTCATCAGGTTAATGTCCTTTCTGTGATCATTTTCATCATCTCATTTCAGTCATAATTAGAACCTGCTATGTTTTAAAAAATACCATTTCGACGTATTAATGATTTGTCCAAGGCATCTTCATCTCAGAAGTCATCATAATTAGTTCTTGCCATTTTATTAATGTCATGGAAAATTTATAATTGATGGACACTGCTTTTATAAATTATCCCCTTTAGAGGTTATAATGTGAGTGTTATAATTTGCAATATTCATAAAATTAAAATTGAAATGTAGTGGGTGGAAGTAAAGTATAGTAATTTCACTGTTTGGCAATGACACTTGTCTTTTAAAAGGTGTAGTTTTATAATTCAAAACATTAAAGGGAGTCTATCAGGATTTCTATTACAAACCCTGGTTTTAGAGCTTTATAACTTGGCTGTTAAAAAAAAAAGAAAAAAGCTGAAATTTGGGACATAAGATCATAGTCAGAGAGGAAGCTTCCATGTGTATTGTATTGAAAACAGTGTATTTTTAATGTTAAAGGAATGTGAAACAGCTGAATTAATTTTAATACAGTTTTGTAGACTCATAGGCTAGAATATGGATGAAAGAGCCTTTACTTACTAATAAAATGTCTGAATTATTACTTTAAAATCTGCTACTATTCCTTATAGCTGTTTCAGTGTTGGCTCCGTAGAAATAATGGTCTCTTGAGTAACTAAGGGCTTATTTGCTTTACTTGAGCAAATTATCAAAGTGAAATCAAGCAGGATTAAATTTACCTGTAAATAGAACAACAGGATTTTTCCTCTGCACTGTGATGCACCTTTGCTTTCCCCAGTGTATGCTGGGAATATCCCCATTAATGTCAGTGTAATTACTGGAAGTTTGCACAAGAGAAAAAAAAAGGAGGCAAATCAGGCCCTAAATATTTGGTTTTTAATATGACAACGGTGGTTTTTTAACATGCCAGATTAGCTATTAGGGACTGCCAAGATAATGCGTGTTTTACATTTTGAGCAAGTAGGTATTTGCATAATAAAATGTATCAAATCTTAAGAAGCTCTTACTCTCAGGTAAATAATATGCCTGTTAAATATTTAAAAACATGTTTTTGCATTCCACACTTCATAAAGAGAAGAAGAAAATCTAAAGAGATCACTCGAGAAAAAAATTATGTTCACTCAACACTTGATCCACGTTAAACTCTGGGGAGCAGAGGACCTAGAAAAGGAGCAGCCTACCACTGCTCTGCTGTGCCAAAACTTGTCCTGCACTCTGACAGGGGACAGTTCAGTACTGTGTGTCCTGAACTACACAATTGCAGTTGCATGCCAGGATAAATGGTATTAAAAGGCAGTGCTTTTTCACAGTAGCCTGCTTTTGTTTTTTAAGGAAACCACACAGCACAGCTGAAAATGTTTCCCCTCCGTCCAGCGGTTCGTTCAGAGTTCACAGACCAAAAATCTTTGTTCACCCGGGAGTCATAACACATGCACCACTTCAGTCAGAGAATGGCAGCTCCAGGAGTCCCTCACAAATGGGCAATACCTGCAGGTCCCCTGCAGTGCTGGTGCTGGCTGGAGTCAGCTGAGTGCATGGCTGTGTGTTGGAGTGGCTGGCACTCCTCGGCATACACAGCCCCGCTGCCTTGCTGCTCCTGGCACAGTCCTGCTGCAGGCTACGTGATAGATAAACCTTGGCATGGAAGCAGCAGCACCTGAACTGCTCTTGGAGCTGCTTTTTGGCTATGGAAGAAACTGGAGAACTTTGTTATATTAGACCTCCAATATCTAAATAGCTAAACTCAGGTGAGATCAATTCCACCACCTACCACCAAATATATACCAAATATACCAATATACAAGATGCATGCAGCATCTTGTAGCAGCCAGTGAGACTGATTTGCTTATTTAATTGCTGTCAGTGGTCAGACGTGGACAAAAAGTGATTGCCCAGGTGAGCAGGTACAGGCTCAGTAAACTCCATGGAAAAAGGTATAATTCCTGTGGGCTACAGTGTGTGCTGAATGTACAAACCAAGTATGCAGTTGTGCCAAGCCTCTTTCTCAGTGTGGCTGCTAATGTTGACATAGATTTTTACTGTGAGATAACAAATAGAAGGAGATTTTTCTCACTTTTACTCCTCCCTTTATCAGAGACTTAGTTTTCCCCTTTTGCATTAGCTGTGTCTGTCATGAGAATCTGCATCAGACACCTATTTGTGAAAGCAAGTGGAGCATCAAAAAGATTGGGAATATCAGAGATCTGACTGTCAAATGTGTTTTAAGTTAATGGTAATTTTAAAATCCCTAACTTAACGCTGAAAATCCCAAAGAGACACATATCTTTGTGTTTGATGAGATTCCTTCAGTTTGACTAGAACAACAATAGCAAGGAGCAGGTGAGATAGGACAGGAAGCACATCAGGTGGTGTGTTTACAGCTGGGAGCTGGGTGCTGATGATGGGGGTGGTGGGAGAAGGCAGAGCCAGAGCAGCACAGCCTGCCTGCACTCCATTACCTCCCTGTAAATGAGGACTCATCAAGACTGCCTGGATACCTTAAAACTTTCTTACGCAACGCTGAACCCTATTACTTATTCTAACACAAGTACCTGTGAAATTGCATTAGGGCTCAGAACAATGATTTTATGCGATGAATTGATTTTCAAGAGACTAAATGCATGGAATGGAGTATGCTCAGTTAAAGCAAAAAAAGACAGGGGAGGTAGGAATACTCAATCTTTGATCATCCAAATGCTGGACAGCAGCAATTAAATGGAGAGGGAAGACCAAGTACACAAGACTCATAAATTAATGAACCCATGAATTAAAAAAGCTGTGAACGTGACCTTTCCTGTATTTAAAACCATTTTCTATATAAAATATATTAAAAGCTTTGAAGAAGCATTTATGAGAAGGATTTTCAAGATATTATTCAAGCCCAAAGTATTATATGTAAAATCTTATTATACATTACTTTACGCTTCAGTACATAGAGGGCCAGGATCTTATGCTTCTGTCCAACACTCATCACAAATGTTTGCAGGACTCAGCCTAGTTGGCTGGATATAATATCATTAATATATCCAAGAATAGTTCACCTTGTTGGCCCAGAAAATTGGTTGGTGATTTACTTTAGCCCTCCAGATTTTAAGTGGTGCTTTCTGTTGAATTTTACATTGATCTCATCGTTACAGAACACTGTGACCATTAACTGTTGCGGTTGGAGAAGAGTGTCTATGAGTGGCTGTTATTTTTCAGTGTTACTAGTATGCTTGGAAACATCTTAACTCTCAATTTCTTCTCTCCTCACCTTTCTGACAAGGTATGCAATGAGACTCAAGAATTTCACAGGCTCTTCTGCCACAGAAGGGGACAAGAAATTAGCAGTTTTATGGTAAGTCCCTTTGTGACAATGAGAGAAGCAGCTAAAATCTTAAGGAGGACTTTAAAAGTACTGAATTACTTAAGCAGCTTACAGAAGATCATTATTCTTGTTTTCCATTAAACTATTAAAGGATAACTAATGGATTTCTTCAGCAGCTGACTAAACATTTATTCTTCTAATTTATACTCTTATCAAGATGGGATATTAATGCTTTTGACCACTTTTTTTTTCTTTCTCCATTTGCTTGTGTTTCAAAATTTAACCTTAGAACAGAAACTACAAAATATAGGTCAGCTTTTTTTTTTTTTTTTACAGTTTATAGGTTTCATTAAGCAATGGAATTAACATAATCCTTTCCTAATTACCACAGCTACCGATGCTTATCACTTCTCTACTTGAGAATGTTTAAACTAAAGAAGGACCATGCTATGAAGTACTCCAGATCACTGATGGAATATTTTAAGGTAATCTTTATTCTGTTTAATTTATTGATATGAAATGAAATTCATACCAGCACCGAGAGCTCTCACAAGTATGACTGTGTGACTTAAAAGTCCCACATTTAACCTCTCCCTGGGGAAATGCAGGCAGGATGGCTGCCAGGGAGTGAGGACAGAAGTGATTTAGGGGATTTTTGGATTAGTCACTTGATTCAAAGGACCATACTCAGTAATTCTACTAAAATAACATTATTCTCAACACCATGTAATGTTTATGCAAGTTTCTAAAAAGGAACCTGATTCTTTCAAGGTTTCAATGTGGAAGCGATTATGAACTGACTCCCAGTGAACCATAATAAAGCAATTATTTAGGCTGTAGTTAGTTAAGTTTGGATTTTCAATTCAGTGAGGTTTGCTGAAGCTTATTGCAGTCTCAGAGATTTCTCCTTTTATTCCTGTGGAACTTCAAATTGCCTTATCTACATCTTGAAGGTTTCCCTTTACCTTAAGTGGAGATCTGATTGTCATGACTTGGGGATGTTTTGTTTTACCTTGTCAAATGCTGTTTACCCAGTGTAAGAATGACAAATCCTCACTGTTGCTAGATTAAGAGAGAAATAGAATCTTTCTTCAGCTCTGCCAAGGTTTTGATATTTACATTTTCCTGGTTAATGCTGTTTGAAGCACACATTAATTCTTGTACTTTATTACTACATATTATTCTATAATTAGGTAATTATACTGTCTTGTCAGCCCATCAGTCTTTTTTTGTTGGTGTTTTCAGCCGCTGTGAATTTGTTCCAAGCTTTGACATATATTGGTACTGCAAACCAGTAAAACCTCTAACACTGCAGTTTTAATATTTTCACGTAAATGGTGATAAAATGGTCCTTCTGCTGTAAAACTCCAGTACTATCATGCAAGCAACCACAGTCCTGACTTCCCATGTGTTTTTTCTGTGGGTGTATCTCTGCAACTTCAGTAATGTTACTCCTGGTCTCGTGCTTAAATGGAGTCTCTGTTGCCACCATTAGTAGTGCCTCTGTTGTGTTCATGGGGTTTTCAGCCAGGGATTTGCAAAATAAATTAAATTTAAACTAGACACATTTGTAACCTCAGCATTTTCATGAAATGTGTTCCACCCACTTCACATTTTATCCAGGATGAATGTAGATTTTCTCTTAAAAAAAAAAAGGATTATTAGACAAATAGTTTTGGTAAACTTTTTCTGCAGAAAGTAATGATAAAAAAAAAAAAAGGGTATGCAGGGGGGATTGTTTTGCCTTAAAGCCACTTTACTTGTCTAGCTGTGCAAATAGGTACAACAGAGAATATATTAATACTCCCAGCATAAGACCATTTTACTGCATCCACACAGAGAAAATGTCTTTTAATGTAAATTAAAATAAGAGAAAAAAATGTTAAATGTAATAAAATAAATCAGAAATACTATTTTAGGCATCCAGTTGAAGCTGAGTGTTTCAGCAAATGTGTGTGCTATGGGCACTGTAACTCATTTCCTAGAAGTAGTGTTTGAGTGTGTACAGATTATATGTACAGATTATATGTTTTGTAATAAAGGCACAGGAGGAGAAAAGAATGAGAGCTATTAACTACATGTTAGTTTTGTATTGCTGCACCATGTTCTCTGTGTTCACTAGAGAGAATCTGTAATACAAATGAAAGAGATTAAGTGTTTGAATAGAGTTGTTATTCAGAATTTTACACAGTTTTAACTGTGAAAAGCAGCCCGCTGTTTACAGCAGAGCTGGAGAGGAACTTTTTGGCTGAATTGTTTTCCATATTTTTCCTCACAAATGCCACTTTGTCCAAATTGAAACCATTTGTGGACAGAACTGGTACTCATTAATTTCCAATTAAAAACTTCAAGTTGATATTTTTGACATTTAAATACAGAAAATAACCATAAAACATGTAAGCAATTTTGAAATTTAGAGACAACTTGAAGTAAAATATAACTAAAGTGATAAATTTCTAAAATTGAAATCAAACCTTTCCAGATTAGAAAAAGTGACATCCTCTGAGGTATTTCCCCTGAAAGTTTGAGGAAGATTTTTATGTTTTTGAAAATGTGTTGTCAATAGTCATTGAAATACTTTTGTTAAATATTTTTACCATCAAATGACTGACTCCAATTGAGATCTAGTCTTAATCTTGACAGACCTATAATTTGTCTCCAGGTAATGTTGGGAACAATCCCCAGACAACAGAACCTAACATCAAAGCTTCTTCTTCATCTCTGAAAACTTTCCAGGGCAGTTTAGGATCTCCCTGCTTCCTATATATGAGCAGGTGGCAAAAATATCCATTACGTATGTGCTGTGCAGAACACACAGGCCAGGCCAATGTCATGGTTTGACAGTGTCTGCTGCTTTGGACAGGACTGTTGGGTTGTTTGCTGTGTTTTAGAAGTCAAGGGTGGGCTCTGGGCTCCACTGAATCTCTGTGCCTCCCATGCAAAACAGTGATTACAGTAAGTGGATAAGCGTTGTAATAATGGTAATACTGTGCAGAGAACTTGTAAAATTTGATTGAATTCTCACTGTGTGTGCTGACTTCTAGAAGGGCAGCTGAGTGATTATTTTCAGAGAGCACACGTAGATAGCCTCAGCCCTGATACTACCACTTTGTATGGAAAATAAAATAACCACTCAGTCTGAGCAAGTCTGGAAAAACCTGGGCTTTATTGTTGCTCGGCAATCTTTTTGTACAGGGTTTTACAAGGTGCTACACAGACGTGAAAGGCAGAATGAGTAAGCAGGTAAGGAAAGTCAATTTGTGCAACTAAAATACATAAAAACAAGGGCATTCAAGCAGATCCTTACTAGAAATGTTATTTATACTACTATCTGAATCCCAAGCCACCTTCCCTAGCAATTTGGGAGGGATTAATTTCATTAAGGCATCAAGCCAAATTCTTTTTGTTCCTTATTAAAATATTGAAGGTCCCCCTAATGATAAGCAGTCATTTGCATTCTCAAGAACTTACTTTGTAGAATAAGTTTCAGTGGTAATTAAACCACTTCTTCGTGACCTGCATCTGCTTTTACTGGAACTTATTCCCTCTTTCATCAAGTGACTTTCAAGCTACTGGTTGGAACCTACCAATCATCCACCAGCCACTTAATTATGGGACCAATGTGCAGAGCTGTTCTGCTCTATGCACTGTAGCTCTTGCAGTGAAAATGGGGAGTGTTGAGGCTTCTGTCTTCAGTATTCATGTGCTCGCATCACCTGTATTTACATTTTGGTTTTGTACTTACAGAACTCTTCAAAAGCCTCACAGGCCCCCTCACCTTGGGGCGGCAATGGAAAGTGAGTATTTTCTGCTGAGTACTTTTGTCTGGGAACAAATGGTTCCAAAAGGGGGGGGAAATGGTTTTGTACCTCTAAAGGCAAAGGACAGGCCATGGGATCAGCATTTTGGGAGCTACAGGTGTCTTTGAAGTATGTTTTGGGTAGAAAATGTTCTTTTTGCCTACAGAATTGATCGTACAGCTGCCCTGGGCTTGTGGGGGTGAGGGGCTCCCACCAGACTGAATCAGGTACCCGTGTGAGCCATCCACTGTGATTGGGAAGGAAGAGCTGAAACACACCTTCATCTGTGCAAAGCCCTCTTAAGTCTAAATTCAGCTGTGGTGGGTCCGTGCTGAATTCTTTGACAGTTTGCTTCTCAAGCCAAATGAAGGCCATAAAAATAGCTGTTAATTAGCTAGCAAGTACCGTGTCATTTTAGGAAGGCAAAGTAAAGTTAACCTTCATTGCAATGATTTTTCAATGATTCGTTCAGCAATGAAAGACCAATGAATATTTCATTGATATATGGTAAGTGCTGTTTAATAAAACTGAAGGTATAATAGTGGTGAAAATGTGAAGGCACTTAGTCAGCCAATTATCAGTGACTTTATACTAACGTTAAAACACCCTCACCTCAGATATGAAGTCAGGGTAATTCAGTTATGATCTGCTGTTCAATGAAGGTGCATTGCTGCTGCAACCTTGCCTTTATCTTGCAATCTCTGTTGCCACCTGACACATCTTTCCTGCTCCTTCCTCCTGTATCACACAGATACAGGTAAAACAAAGGTGAAGGACTTTAACTTTTTTTCCATCTTGACTAGCATGGGCTCAATTCTAGGTGAAAATGATTATTGTTAATGGTCTCTTTCTGGTAGTTCAGAAGAAATGACCATTAGACATGCCAAGGAAACAACATAAAACTGTAGAAGGGGTTGAAGTTTAGCACACAAAGAAATGAAGTTTTCAAGCAGACTTCATTTTCAAGCAGTACAAAACCGAGAATTGCAATATTTTGCTTAAAGGAAAATATTGTCTTAGGTAATTCAAAATGTTTTGTGGTGTATGTATATAAACATATACACCCCAAATACACAGTTATTTTGAATATGTGTGTATAGGGATATTTAAGTATAGATTATAAAACAAACTAAAGTGATGAAATACAAAATCACCTTTAAATAAAAGCTGAAAATATATTTTAACACTGGAAAAGCAATACTAAATTAAATTATTCATTATGTGCCAGTTTTTTGAGGCATTTAAATGTCAGTGAAACCTTGTATTGCAGTAAAAATACATAAATGTTTACCTAAAGTTTTAGTGATGAAATAGACCACTGGGGCATTGCATCTCTTTTCTTAAGAAGTGGCTTGTACGTACACATTTCATGAAGCGGAAGTTATCCTTTTATTCCTGTCCTATAACAGTCAGGATGAAGTGTCTGCTCTGCAGGTGATGACACCTCCCTCGCTATTTAAAGGAGCTGTTGGGTGTTCAGGATTTAGAATAAGTGGGTTTTGACTGGAGGAGAAAATTCTTGTCTGGCCACAAAGTAGGCAGCGGAAACCCAGCCTTCAGGTCAGCATCAGTTCTAATGTAACACCCAGCTGATCAGTCTCTTCCCACTAACTTTGGAGATAAGGAAGCAAAGCTCTGAAAGAGCACATCTCTGCCTTTTATTCAGAGAAGGAAGCACTTGACATGTGAGAATAACTGAACATGACAAGGCCGTGTTATAACAGCGTTATTGTGACACCTGTGACCTGTGACCACAGTCCACACTCAGCTCTTCTATCCCCCCTGTGTGGAGTCTCAGAAGAAAAGCTCTCTGGCTGGCTCAGAGTGGCTGTATATCTCAGGTGTCTCCTGGTGGCCCCCAGTTTGTCACAGGCCTGGTGCTGCCCCTGGCAGCACGTGCTCTGCCTTCCCCAGTGCTACTCACTCTGCAGTTTCCTCTTGTTCCCCTGCAAATTTGTACCAGATGGGTAGAGAATTCGCACACCACAGAGGTATGGGGATGGATCAGCAGCCTGGTGCAGAACAGGGAAACAGTGGGGCAGTCTCAAATTTATTTTTTTTTTAACAAAGCAAAACTTGATCCATTGCCATGAATTGTAGTGTCCTCAGGGTCTCAAAAGATCAAAAATCTCGTTTGGCCTTACTGGAATTTCTGCCTACTCTTGTTTGAAAGGGTTGTGAACCTCTACAAAGTTGGCCTGGGTTCCAGGCTGGCAATGAAACAAATTTTCCCTGGTTTCATTACAGAAATGTTTCCCACCTCTAGCAACAGAGAGCACAAAATACAGAGATTTAGTAGACTCACCACAGTAATAATGGCTGTGCACAACAGGGAAAATCCAGTGAACAATGTGCTTTATTTGGCAGAAGTGCGTCAGCTTGTTCTAAGTGGCTCTAACAAAATACTCTTGGTATCCTCAGATACTTATCATTTTTAACAGCTCCCAGACCTAATCTAGTATAGTTCAGCTCTCCTGTGCATTAAAGACACTGTGGCACGTCAGATAACCAGGATGTTTTGAGACTTAAAGTAAAACATTTGTGCATTAGGATGTGCTTAAACTCTAACACATAAGCTGTGTTAAAAGCTACTGTCTGCCAAATCAACGTGGTCTCTAGCTCTGGAAAAAGAATATATCACAGGAGCCTGTTGTTGAGCACAGGTAATAGCAGGGCACTGCTAGAAAACCTGCAGCAAAAGCTGTTGCCATCGATGCCTTTCAGCCCTAGGCTGTGCCGTGGTGGCAGTCTGTCCTGCAGCCCTGCATCTCAAGTGTATTCCACAGCAAGTAGAATGCTTTTGTTTAGGTAAGTGGTTCCAAATGGAGTTACATCCAGCTGGAGCTGGTCACCAGTGGTGTTCCCCAGGGGGCCAGTCCTATTTCATATCTTTTTTGATGAGCTGGACGAAGGGATCAAGGGCACCCTTAGTCAGTTTGTGGATAACACCAAGTTGGGTGGGAGTGTTGATCTGATGAAGGGTAGCTTTTGTTACTTCTCCCACATAACAAGCGATAGGACAAGAGGAAATGGCCACAAGTTGCACCAGGGGAGGTTTAGGAATAATTTCTTCACCAAAAGGGTCATCAAGCACTGGAATAGGCTGCCCAGGGAAGAGATTGAGCCACCATTCTTGGAGATATTCAAAAGATATGAGATATGTAGATGTGGCACTTGGGGACATGGGTTAGTGGTGGACTTGGCAGTGCTGTGTTAGTGGTTGGACTCAATAATCTTAAAGGTATTTTCCAACGTGAACAATTCCATGATTCTATAAATTTTCAAAGAGAATAGCTGTTTTGTGAGGGTTCAGCACTGCACAGCTCTAACCAAGAGCTTGCTGTGCTGACCGCAGCACTGCCTGCAGCCAGCAGGTGATTCCTAATTGCTGGTGTTAGAATTAAAGGAAAATCTATATTAGAACATTAGTGCCACACTAAGTAGGTAACTTAAAACACTGCTTTGTACAGAACTGTGCAGATGAAACTGTAGGCAATTAGAACAAATCTCCATGGCCTTAAAGAATCCTATAGAGATATTCATAATCCTACAGTACCCTCAGGACCTAATACTGCTCAGCAGGGTGCTTTTAAGACTTGCTCTTTACTTATTGTGGTGACTGTTTTTGGAGCAAACTGTCATTGTTGTTCCCAGAAAATACTTTGATAATAAGCCAATATTGCACATTGAGTGTTTTCTAACTGCCATTGCAGCTTCTGGCAGCAGGTAGAAAAATCATTACAGCTATGAGATGCTTCTTTCTCTGAAAGATTGCTCTATTTTTGTGATAGATTTTTTTTTTTTTTTAAATAACAGGTTCATTTAAAGGGAAAATTAAATCCCTTCTTATTTTCAGTCATCCCCAGTTTATATGCTCTCCTTTCTTGTAAAATCAGGAGATACCACTGCACATTCTCCCCTGACTGGGGCGCAGAGGTAACTTTTGAAGTGCACTTAGGTTGGCAGTGAAGTGGGGCGTGCGAGGGGGACTCACTCTCGCTTTCCCTCTTGCAGGAGCACAGAAACACCATCGCCCATGTCCCTGAGCCCGTCCCCCGTCAGCTCTGCTGGGAGCACCACGGGCACCACCGGCTCCTCCTCGGCGGGGACCATCACCATCCCCCAGCGCATCCACCACATGGCTGCCAGCCACGTCAACATCACCAACAACGTCCTGCGGAGCTACGAGCACTGGGACATGGCTGACAAGCTGACCAAGGAGAACAAAGGTGCGCCGCTCTCTTGCTTTTTTCTTTGTCCCCTTTGGCTCACCAGCTTTAGCTTTCTCTCTGTTCTCTGCCTTTGGACCCGGAGCCACCGCATCTAAGAGCACAACTGTGACAGCTTGAGCAAACAGACCAAATCTGCTCGCTGGTCGCTGTAGCCAATGCGTATCTTCTCTTGTCAAGCACAGAGGGGGATGTGTAACACACTCTGAACATGGGGTTATCAGAGCAGCTGGCAAATAATTTAGCGAACATGAGCCCCAAGTGATGAGAGCTTTTGAGTCTGCAAATTCGTTCACAGTTTCAGTGTCTTGTAGGGCGCTGAGATTATTTTCAGACTGCTCCGTCAATGGGTTTAAGACTATTAAAATGCTGGCTAGGATGATAAGCAAACATTAGATGTTATGTTCATGCGGGGAGTCCGATTAGGAGATGTCCACTGAAAGCCATGACCTTGACTCTCCTATGGTTGGGTTGCAATCTGTTTATTTCTAACAACAAAACATAGGTCTTTACCACAGCCATTTTCAAGGAGTTTTAGCAAGCAGTTTGTGACTGGGTTGTATCAAGTGTAGTGGAGTGTCTGAGATATAACTAAAGGACAAATTTGGCGTATTGTTGGCCAGCTGTGAACTTCCCCATGATAATGTAATTATTCACATTCCAGCTTTGGGCTCACACAAATCACTGAGAAAGCCTTCTTTGACACTAGAGGTGCAGAGCCTAACTAGGAAATATTCTCATCATGAGTCGGCTCATTCTCTTAAATTATAGTGAGATTTCAGATGGCTGACTTGTCCTGACAAATGTGCTTGCTGTATGCAGTTTGATCTTACTCCCATTAATGTCAGTGGCAAATTTCCACTGATTTAGAGAAACTGAGCTTGAGATTTATAGAGTTTTATGTCTGAATGGTGGGACATAATGATCTATCCCTGGATGAGGAACAATAATAGAAGTTCTGTCCAGTCCTCCCCACTGCTTCTTGTCTTTGTTCGCATTGATTAATTTAGTAGCAGTACAGTCATTTTGGATTTTTTCCATAGCTGCATCCATTTTCACAAAATGTGAAAGCGATTCCCTGTCAAATGTACTGCAGAATGTTACAGTGGGAATGCAGAAGGATGCCCTGATAGGAGAAAGAGATGGTGATAATCTTGTAATTAGCTCTGTGTGTTGTGGAGTTGTTAAATGTTCTACTTGGTATTGAATCAAAATAGCTCAGGCATTCAGCCAGCAGACAGAAAATGTACCCAGCCACTGCTGTTATCAGTCCTAGAGCTGGATGAGAAAAAAACCTGCTGACTCTCTTTCTGCATTTTCCTCCCTACACTCTCCTTTGTTCTCATTTTGATTTACGATCAAATAAACCCAATTCTGCAAAGCCATATAGGAATACTCTTTATTCAGATCAGCAGTCCCTTTGACTTTAGTGGGACTGGATGCATGAATAAGGGTTTCTCACATCAGCAAGACATGTAGGGTTGTGACCTGTTCTTTCATATCTTGTTTCACAAACTGCAGACACGTTACAGGGAATGGAAAGTTCGTGTTACTTCAAATTTGATTTAAGTATTATAAACCATTGGAGAGAGATCAGAGTTTCATACATGCTATACCGTGTCTGTCTTTACATTTTGTCTGGAACCTCATTTCTAATTAAATACATGATTTAAAGATGCATGCTTTAACACAATTAAACTGCAATTTGAAAAATTCATGGTGTAACAAAAAGTGTATGGGAACTGCTGTGGTGCTATGCAGATCTTCATCACATCACATGATGGATTCTCTTTACAGAAGGATGTGTTTAAGATACTTTGACATGAGAAATATTACAGTGTTTCATGAAACCTAGCTGTAGTTGTTTTAGTAGATGTCATCTGTACCTCTCAAATAATTCAGAGCACCTATATCTTGCTGGCTGGGACAGGACTCATCCCTGTCCCCTCTAGTCCACCTTTGCCAACTGGACCAGCCCTAGCAGTGCCCAAGCTCTGGTACACTGGCATGTGGACTTTGAGTTCCAAAATGCCCCATGACAGCAAACAGGACAGTGCAAACCCCAGACTCTGCTGTGAGTCTCAAGGACAGGACAAATCTCTTGGCCTCTCTCCCAGGAGCTTGGGCGGTCAGTTCATTTTAAAGAATGAGATTTTCCCCCCCCTCCCCTTGAAATAAGAATGGTCTCAAAAGCAAACATAAACCCACAAAGAAACCATGATCAAGATAAAAATTAAATTCCTTTAAAAAAAAAATAAAGCCAAAAAACCCAGATCCAGTCATTTTTATGGGTTTTTTTGTGGTCAGCTCTCATTGTTTCTGTTGTCTTCTGAATCACAGGGTGTGTCTTGCCCAAGAATATGTCTCTGATGAGAGCTAATAGAGATGGGTATAAAACTGTGGCCTAACTGCCTTTACCTCTAGGTCTTACTGCTGTCATAGATGTTTCTTAGGACATGCCCATGCAGTCACAAGAGATTTCTTCCACATTGTAGGAGCTGTGCAGCTTCCCCTTGTCCATGGCTGTCAGCTTAGGTTTTGTGCTCCTCTGAGTATGCCTGCACACTCCCAGTTTGGACTTGACTCATGTCCAGCTGGCTCAGAGCAGCAGACAGAAGCCTTTCTTTGTCAGCCTGACAAAAGATGTGCCATTAAAATAAAAATGCAAGAGGAGAACAGCAGAACTGTGACCCACCAGGCTGATCTGGTTTGAAAGGGAAAGCATGAGCATACTGCCATGTACTTTTGGTGGAATTTTCCCTGGTCAGTAGGGTTGAGAATGTGTGGGAGAATAGATGGAGTTTGTCATAAATCTGCATCTGTATCAGGCCAGACTAAACTGCAGACTTCCCAAAGCCCATGGGCTGGTTTGTGTTGTATCACCTAGCGTGGTGTTCACCATCTATAACATCAAACTCTCAGCTGACTTTACAAGATCAGATCATTTTTTTTAAACTTCCAAAGATAGCAGTGCTTTTTGTCTTCAGTGGAAAACTATCAGCTCTGTAGTGAGCAAGACCTGTTCTCTCACGCATAAATTTAATAAGGGGCTTCAGTGCATGTAGCTTTTTCAAGAAATGTTCAACTGAAATTAGGCTTTAAGGTGAATTTTCAGTGTTTAAAGTAATTATTTATCTGAGCCTAAAATGAGATCTCTAGAATGCAAGCAAGATAGTGCATTATTTCACTTCTAAATGTATTGATTTTTACACTAGAGGAGGGGAATAAAAGACAGAGGAAGGAAGATTAAAAGTAGCTGCTGGCTGCAGCATCTGAACAGCTCTGGTGCTAGCCCTGAGCTCTCATTATGCTTGCCTGCAGCCAAATCACTTTGTGCTCTGATACTGCTGTAGCTCCCAAGCTGACCAGGGTCAGGCTGTCAATACTTGGATAGAAGACCTCAAAGCAGCACTTACTCGCTGAAGAAAGTACTGATAATGATTTTGTACCCGGCATCTGCTCTCCTGAAGTGCAGCCAATACAGTGCTGGCTGGCTGAGTGCTGGGCACTGGATTTTAGGCAGGGTGAGAATGTAAGGGCTCAGCCACTGTTATTGTGATTGCTGGTTGTTATCTGAGCTCTGAGGGGCTTTAACTGAGAGCAGGCTCCCACTTGCCTAAATATAGTGTAAGTGTTGTATGTGTGGGAATGCCTGTGCCCCAGTGAGCATAAAGACAAGCTGTGGGAGAATAGAGGACACAATTCAGTTCTCCATTGACAGCAATTAGGAAAGGTCTGTTGGCCCTAACAGGATTAGTCTTTCACCCAGAGAACATCTAACACATGACATAAAGTAAACTGGTATGTTTCTTCCTAACTGTGGCTCTCTGTTTAGTGACCTCCTATTAACCCTTTCCAACATGGAATCCCAGGGTTGGGATTCTTCCCCCTTATAGGTTCCTGTCTCCTAGATGGTATTTTCCTGCTGTGTTCCCTCTCTCCTCTTCCTTCTCTCCTCCCACCCCACACACATCCTCTGGGGCCTGCAGCTGCAGCAGAATGAGCAGAGGACCAAAACTTCTGCAATGGCAGTAACAGAAATTGGAGGGTGGAGAAAAGAGCAAGCAAGGTCTTCTGCAGGATCCAGACTAGCCCTTCATACCTGGGAGAGGGTACAGCATGGAAAAGGAAATGCTGTACTAGCAATTCATTGCCAGCTATTTAAATTGTGAAGTCAGCAAACTGATGGCATAGATCATCAATCAGAGTTAAAGGAAGACTACTGGCAACCACTCATACAATGTTGTGGTAGACTGCCAGCATGGATAGTCTAATTCGGTCTTTTTAAATATACTGTTGTGTTTTAAATTCTTTCATGCTGACAGTTGTGCTCATGTGCACAACCGCCTTGAGAACTCACTAATTGCACCGATTGGGAAATCATGGTAATACCTGTATTTCTGTACCATTGCCTGAAACAACTGCCTCTGTTTCTTGTGTGTTGCAGAGTTCTTTGTAGACCTGGACTCAGTGATGGGACCCTTAACACAACACAGCAGTATGACCAATCTGGTTCGTTACGTTCGCCAGGGACTCCACTGGCTCCGCATTGAGGCTCATTTGTTGTAGTGACTGCTGCCCTCTCCATAACATCCCCATTCTTCTACCTCTACCAGCGCAGAGACGATCACTGGTGGAACTCCACTCATTTTTGGAAGTTTATTCATGTAACTTCATTTTTATTGCCTTTTTTAATATCCTATCTATTGGAAGTAGAAGTCACCATAAAAGAAACTTATGACTCAAGAGCAGTATGTGTTGTACCATCTAATCATTTTCGACAATTTTCTATGCCTTGTGTCTCCTGGATCCTGCCATCCTTATGTGCTTTATGGAACGGTACATTCCCTGCAGTATTGTTTTAAGTCCATGCTGCCTTCAAGTGAAAACAAAAAAGCACTTTGAGAAGATATGGATTCCTGAGAAATAGTACAAAGCGTCTTAAATATTTGAGGGTATATATGAGAAGTCCCTTCTGAAATAAATTAGTAGAAGTTATAGCTATTCATTCAAAATCATCTTCTGAACCTGAACCAAGCTTTTCGACGCTTAATTCTGGCATCATTACCTGACTCAGTACATTCCTAAGATTTCATACTTCCTATAGGTTTAATCTCTAAAAGAGAACATTGAATATCTTACAGCTACATAATGTAAGATCACCAAAGGTGTTAAGAGGTAAAAGGTTGAAGGAATGCCTCATTAAAGAATGATGACACACTATGCAATGAGGTTTTGATATTCCATTCTTCCTGTTTATTGTTGGCTTAATAATTTCAGTAGGCAGCAGAATTTATTGCAGTTTTTAGGCAGTTTCAAAATATTAGCTTTCTTAGTCTTATCTACCATTCCTATACTAAATCTGTGAATTTTCTTTCTACTTTACTGTTTAGTCTCAAACAAATACTCATCCAAGATTTTTCTTCATAGAACAATCTCTCCTTGCATAGTGACTCACTGAAAGCAGATTTTAACAGGACTGCTGCACTCTAAGCATTGATATTGTATGTAAAAGTCCATTAATAAGTGTATGCAGATTCTTCATGAAACTATCTAGAAGTTTAACTAACCAGCTACTGTTGAAACATTATAATTCCATGTGGCATCATTTTTCACCTGTTTTGTTCATTTCAGAGCATTAGAAACTAACAGTATTATCTTGCTATCTTGAAAACAATGTCAAATTAAATAAAATCACCAGATTTACCCAAAAGCAATATAACATTTGTTTAATAATGGCCATGAATACTTCAGTCAGATTACCTATTTTCCAAGCTCTGCATCTGTTTACCCATGCTGTCATGTTTTGGACCATTCCTCTAATGCGTGAATAATAATGAGACAATTCAGATAGAATTTCAAAGCAATTGTGAATAAATTGCACCATTTCACATTTGCTCTTTCCTCTTATTTTTTTTCCTTGTTATAAACTGCACTGCTCTTCTGGTGCCACTGCAAGAAGCGCTGGTGCATGAAACAAAACAAAATGAATTTATATCAATAATTCACAAGACTTTAAATGGTCTCATCTCATTCTTGATATAACACCTGCATACCTTACTGAACTGTAAATTCCATTTCTATAAACAGAAAATGCTCATAGCAATGTAAATATTATTCTGTCTCATCTCATTGAAATAATACAATATGTGTATTAAATGCCATCCAGATATTAGTTAATTGCAATTACCTTCTGCTATATAAACCTGTATATCCTTTAATCTGGTGAGTTATTGGATTCTACTCACTGGGTTGTGACCAGATAAATAGGACAAATTTGCATTTAAAAGGTTCAGACTGTTACGATTTTTAGAGCAGGCCTTGGATATTTGCAATAAGAGCAGTTTAAGGACTCTGCCCAATGCACATTTAAGACAAACATTTCTGTAGCTGTTGTATATTAGCTCCCAGTAGTACTACCTTTTCTTAAAAATCAATAATTCCTAACATTTTGTTCCACGAGGCTGTATTGTAAACACAGCCAACGTGCATCATTAGAGAAATCATCCCGTTTAGGGTTTTCTGCAAAGGACATTTGCAGAACATGCACATCCTGTATTATCTGCACACTCCTGTGCCTGAAGTGGTCGATACACCCTTATCTGTTCTCTGAGGGTTTCAGTAACACGGCTGAAACCTGAATCTGACAGCATTTGTCACACTGATTCTGGGCCCAGTAGCTAATGAATAAAACCACGACAGTGAGAACTGTTCAGAACTGTAGATGAAAGGTGGTTGTTGAGTTTTTTTTTTTAAAGAAAAAGAAAACAAAACACTTGAAATTTTTTTTAACAGGTTGGGTAGTTGAGACGCAGTAGTGTTGGGATGGTTTTGTCATAAGCCAGAGAGTTTTCCATTCTTTTTGCAAGTAACTATTTAGTCTAATTAAGTGCATTGTCGTCACTTGTTCCTTTAATGTAGACTGAAATCCTAGACTTCCATGCCTTTACGAGGGATAGCTATGCCTTGAAAGACAGTCTTCAGACATGGGACTGTTCAGAGTTAGCTGCAGTCACTCAGTGAAGACAATGTATTATCTTTCTCCTGTTGGTTGTGGTAAACAGGCTCCTATCTTTAAATTTACGCCGCGTTCACAATCTTTTGCTTAAACAGCTTAAGGAATTAGCCCACCTGATTTTGTATCCTGTGACTTAGGTTGAAATGTATGCTGAATCAATGGCATGATTATAGTAAGTCCAGCAGTCAAGTCTAGGATCACAAGCCAACTTACTATTTAGCAGTCTTGTTTCAAAAGCAGCTTAGAAACAAATTAAATATGGAGAGTGAATTACCATCTTATCCCTGGGGATGATGCTTCTTTTGGGTTAGTTATTAAGGATTATTGCACTTTTACAGGCACTATATTCATCTCATTTCAATTGCCAACATGTCATCTTTGTGGAATCATTTTTACCCCTTAAAATATTACTTCCAGCAGACTTAATCAAATGAGATTGTTTGTTTGTTTCAGTCCGTGGGGAAGCAGCATGTCTGTGCTTGGGCGTTTGCTATGTCTGCACTTAACACTGCCCAATTCAGGCTCTCAAACTCATGAACCAAGCACCAAAAATTACAAGATTGGCTTAAAATTGTGTTAGTGGGTTTTTTTGGGGTTTTGGGTTGTTTGTTTTTTTTTGTTAAATAAACTCCTTGGTTCTTGTATTGCCTTCTGGATACTGAGCTTTGGGACTGATTTCACGACACATTTTCAGGCATTCTCCAAACATGACAAGGGCTGGAAAACACACATTTGTTTTTAATTGTTTTTAATAGTGATAAACTGGGACAGTGATGTAATCTCCTGATTTCTGCAGCTGGGACTTAAGAAGGACACCAAGATTCATAAAAAAATTGCCAGAACTGACTGCCATTTGTGACCCATGCTTGAGGAGGTTTGGAGCAATACTGATAGTTCAGCAGTGAGGGGAGCAAGCCAGTAAAGGGCTAAACTCAAGCATTTGGGGAGCTCCACGGGTGCGAGATCCAAGGGCAGTAAAGTGCTAAGTGCTCAGGCGAGGCATTTGCATAGCACTTAACCTCCCTGTCAAGCCCTGCAGCAGCTCCTCAGTGAAGTCTTTGACATCGTCCGGGCAGAATATCCTGCTCCGAGTGCAGTATCTCAGCCATGTGATGTGTTTTGGGTGCTCCAGAGCAGGGATTGGAAGGAAAGCCTTTTTGCTAGTAGTGTTGGTGGCAACTTTCACAGCTTGCTTCTAACAGCTTCATTTCACTTTTTCTTACATGTTCTTTGGACTTTTAATTATTTATATACTCTCTCTGTGAATATATTGTCTCATTTATAAATGATCTCCTTTGAAAAATAGGGACAGGTCTGTTGATAGTCATGTGGACTTTTTTTTAAAAAATAACATTGGAGATCTTCATTCCTCCTAAAGAAACAAAATCTGAGAATTGAATCTGGACCTTAATTTTTATGCTTTTTTATTTCACAGGTTTTATTGTGTTCTTTTATTGTAACAGTTTAGATTCACTGATGTTTTTGGGTACTTTGGAAGAAAAGTTTTCATATATTTTTATCATCATTTAATGCTGTCTAAATCCAGTCATTAGTTTTGTGAGGGCAACTTAACAGACAGCAGAAACGGGGCTGGTAAGGATTCTGACTTAAGTATTAACACACTTTGCTTTGAGTTCAGGACAAACTCCACTACACACAGTGTTGAAGCAAGCACATGTGTGTGTGTGTGTGTGTGTGTGTGTGTGTGTATTTGCAACAAAAAGTCCTTGTTCATTACTTCATAGCACAAGAAAACGTATATGATAGCTGTAAACAGAAACCACTCTTACCACTGCTGGTGGTAATGGCATTATTCAAGTGTTCCTCTGTAGTATGTGATACTCCTGTTTGCACCTACTGTCTCTTGCAGGCAATGAAGTTGTGGCAGAAAGTAGCAACACTTTGTCATCTTGGTCCTGTGGTCCCTGAGGTCAGTGTCAAAACTGAATGTGCTGTCAACATGCTGTTTTTCAGGTTAGCTCATTTGCCATAGACCACTGTCTTGAAGTTTTAAGAAAGATGAAATATTTCATCAGTCACCAAAGGCAATTAATTTGTCATTTTGAAGCAAGTGTAGAAGTGTCCCATCTCTAGGCAGCTTGCACCAGTGAAAGGTCATTGCAAACGGCCTTTGCCTCTCGCAGCATCTCCCTGACCTCACATGAGGGCACTGGGAGTGAGGCAAAGGGGATGAAGATAAGAAACCAGTCCCCTGTCCTTATGACATCTTCCAGCTTTATTTTACATACTACTTTATAAATACAAATAAAACAAGTCTTCTTAATGTTGGGAAGGCTCAATTCCTCCTGGACTTCCATGATATAACCAGAGCACTATACTCACCAAAGCATATAGGCATTCTCTAATGAGATAGATATATATATATACAAACACACACATGTATGTATATAAATATATGTATCTCACTAGATATAGTGGTATGTTTTAGTTATATCACTTGAATTTAGCCTACAGGTATAGGCTAAAAGCTGTTAGGCTCTCCTTCATTACTGAAACCTCCTCCTGAGTGCATAATGTTCCTGCCTGACTCAGAGAGCAGTCCTCCTCTCACCAGTATTCTTATCAGACCTGCCTTTCTGATGGACTTGGTGGCTTTACTTAAGCCATTTTGTTTCAGAGATGTTTTGTCTTCCAAGATCAGTGATTCTGATCATCTCACACCTGTTTAAACCCCTGGTGGTAGCTGCTGAAGTCAGGATAGATTGAGTTCAGATCTTGTGTACAGCCAGGGGATGACGTGGCTCTACAGATATGAGAGCAAATTCAGGGGCAGATGAGTTACTGCATAAAACTGGTGTCAGATGAGAATCAAACCTGGCCTCATCAGGAAGCCCTGTAACAGAAAAACTATGATGATAAGCTCTTCCCAGGACCACAGGATATGTAGCAACATGTCAGGCAGCTCATTGGCACTGTGATCATATCAGGCAATTCAAGATATCAAGAGTGGTTTAAAGAAACTGGGGCAAGTTGTTGGGGTCTGGCATTATGAATTTATGTGTGGCATTATGTGTGCTTTTTGGGAAAGGGGATTCATTACTCTTGATATGTCCTGTAAAATAACACCTGTACCATGGTATCCTATAAAACCAGAGTATAGCACCATTCCATCCAGTTCTTAATCCCCCTCAGAGTGCCACCATGTGTCATAGAGAGCTAACTCTTGTCACTGCCCTGAAGTCACCATACAGTTAAACCATTATTTTTACAACTCCAGCAAGGACCAAGCCCAGGGGCTTAGGGGCCAGCTCAAGTAGCCATGTGTGACCTGATGTTGCCCACCACAGGCTGTGGAGCCACACAGAGCTCCCTGAGCCCGCAGCCTACAATGGGTGTTGGACTACTACAGGTCTCTGTGGTGTGAATCCACATAGCCCTGTCCACTGTACTGGGGGACAAGTGCTATGCCCAGCAGGACTGAGGGACCCCAGCCCCACCACCTGGGTGTGGCAGAGCTGTGGCTCTGCATTGCTTTCAGATCTTGGTCCTTTGCAGCTGCAGATGGGACTGGGATTTGAGCACTCCCTTGTACTTGCACTTCATCTGGAAATGCCAAACGAGTTGACAGAAGCCGTGCTCGCAGTAACAGCACAGAACTCGGGCAGTGCCCACTGTGTGCAGAATTGCAGTTTAAATTGTAGTGTCCACAGGACCACTCATGCTTACTGGCCTCACCTCAGTCCTGCTGATGCCAGTCATAAAAGTCACATGAGTGGACAATGCAGCTGTCTGAGACTTGCTTTCTTCTTTGGTTTTAAGTGAGTTCCTCTCTATGTAAGTTCCGTAAGCTCTCTGTGCTGGATATAAGTTTACTCACAGTTGTGTGAGTGTCACCCTGTTGTAATACCTTTGAAAGACCCACCAAGTATAGATAGCCCTAATTTCCACTGACTTATTTCCTTCTCTGAAATAAAAGGAAGATCAGATCCTGAAGCGAATTTCGTTGTTTTATTGGACAAGAGTGACTACAATAGACCAAATTGTGAGTTAAGCAAATGCAAAATAACTTGGCTCAACTGGTGAAAGTCATGGCACCAAATTCTGCTATCATGTGGCAATAATGCACAGGTCTTATGGAGCTTGCTGGGTACTGTATATCACAGAGAAGCTGGTTAACAAAAATGGCATAACATTACTGGAGTTAAGTTTATTAGGCCAGAAATTGAGTTGCATTAACCCAGTTAATTCAGTGGAATTACACCCATTTTTGTTCTGGCTGAGCACTCACCTCACTGAAGGTAGTTCAAGGTCTCTGGACAAGTGCTGGAGTAACTGCAAGCAGACTTGCTCTTCAGCCAGACCATATGTTGACTCAGCCCTTGCTCAGGGAAACCACCATTGACTTCAGTGACAAGTAACACGGCGTTATGGACGTGGAGAAGCTTTGACCCACTGGCAGGAGGCATTTACCCTTGAATTTATGAATGAAGCAACACAAAAGTTTTATTTATAACAGAGGTAAAGTTCCTCAGCTGGTGTAAACTGGTATAGGAGTACTGATTTCAGTGGACTTAATCCAATGTGCACACACCGAGGAGCAAACCCTCTAACCCCAGACTAATTTTTGCCAATATATCTCTATGCAGATAAACTCCCAAAGCTTTTATCATTATGCCTTTTTACTGATCATGCCAATGAAATGATTAGTGTCCCATAATCCTTGCCTGTAAGGAAATACTGTACTTTGCAGAGCTATGCAGTATACAGCACATCATAAAACTGCTTTAGACCACACAGTCTGGAAAAGCGTTATCAGAAACTAGACTAACAGAGCAGCTTTTTATCTGATGTCGATTACACTTCACTCTGCACTTCCACTGCTGAGTTTTACATACAGACTGAATGATGGCTGGGAGTTTCTGATGACTGTGGGCTGAAGCTTCAGCTGATGTGCCTCTAAGTAGCTGCGTAGATGTCAGTGCTGATTTACACCAGCTGAAAAACTAGTCCTCTCCCTTTTCATACTGTGCTGCACCCCCTAATGCAGCTTTATAGATGCACACTGAAGCTCAGTGTATATTGAACTATTCTGATTCAGCACCAGATAATCCCTGCTAAAAGAATTGGAGGGTGATTTCTGCCTGCCATCTAGGCTTGCATATGTTTTGGTTTTAACTAAAAGGCATGTTGCAATTTCATTACCTCCCAGTTTAAATATTTACTAGCATCAGCATTAGCTTGCATAGAAAAATGGCGAATAAATTCAAACATGTCATAAATGCTCTCAGCCTAGAGATGGAATCTGTTACTTTAGTTCAAAGACTGCAGCAGGCTAAAGTGGTTTTTCTAAGGCAAATGGGTTTTGTACATTTAAAAGTCATGGCAAATACTTATCTAGGACCATTTCTGCTGTTCTTCCCCTGAGCATCCTGATCAGCAGGTTGCCCCACTGAAGTCCACAGAAGTAACTGTGTGAATGAGTGCTCAGCACACAGGTTGCAGAATCAGGCACTGAATATCTTAGGTTGCTGCAATCAGGGGTTTAATTTTAGCCATATGTATCACTTGAGGACACTTAAAAAGTATGTACATTTTATCCAAGCTGACAGTCCTTGTATTTCCATAAAATATTGTATCATTTATTCCTGTCTGTATTTTTGACATCTCTGGATTGCATATCTTCTACTGAATCTTAAATGCTGTTTTTTTTTTTAAAACCCACATTCAAAAGTTCTAGGACATATCATCCCAGAATATTAAAGCAAGTCAAAGATCTGGTGATGTTTTTCTCTGGTTTTGCGCTCTCCTTCAGTTTGTGTTTTGTCTTTGGCTGTAGTACTCCCAGAATTTTTAAAACGGCTCAGTTCAATTCAAGTTGCTTCCTGTCTTCTGAGGGGAAAATAAAAAAAAAAAGCAAAATACAACTAAGGTTCAGGAGAAGTAATCCTGGCAAACTCGGTGGGTGTTTGCTTTTTCTAGCTGTCCTGTTTTTTTAACCCTGCCATGTTGGGAATAGTCGTGTGTGTGTTCTCTTACCCACCATTTCTGGCTGTTGTGGCAAATACTTTTTTTTTTCATTTTTTTTCTTGTGTGTGTGTGTGTATGTGCGCGCATGTATAATTAACCAAAATATCAGGAAAATTTATATATGCTTTCTTCTGGTTCCTGGAAATAGAGCAACATTATGACCTTATGGTCTTCCAGCAAAAGTCAGATTTAATTTCTGCATTGCAGTGCAACTTAATTAGCTATTGGAATTAGATTATGGTTTACTAAATGGCCTTTTACCTTACGTTCTTATGTTCTTACTTTTTATTTACTATCAAAGTAGCCTTTTTTTTTTCTCATGTGTGCAAGTATCATATCAATAATCATTGCAATTCCACAAGGTGTCTTTGTTCTGAACAAGCATGTTATTCTTGTAAAGTTTTAAGTATAAGTTAAGATGTTTTGTACAGACCAAGGTAACTGTTAAAATGTCAAGCAATTACTGAAATGTTGTATAGTTACAAAAGTTTGATTTCTTTTGCTTTATATGTATAAAATTGTATCTTGCCTGTTTTGCTTTGTATTTCCAACGTGTTGCACAATTATGCATTTTGTTTACATTTGTTCCTTCTTCAGAAAAAAAATAACAGTAATACTTTATGTACAAACATTTTAAATGTACTTTTGTTGTTTTTAAACACAATGTCTCTGTATAAATAATATTGGTTGAACTGGTACATTCGTGTCTCTCATAGAGGGATTAATTATACTGCCAGTGCATTGAATTATTTAAAAAAAAAAAGTAAAATAAAATTTTTATGAAAATGTAACCCATTTTATCACTATAAATTATTCTGTCTTCTGCTATTTTCTCATTCTCCTCCCAGGATACAATAAGTATGGTACAGTAAGTACTGTTTGTGGGAGAGCTGTCATGGGTTTTAATTTTTAATCAATGTGTTTGTGTCATTGCGGCGACTTAAAATGACTCGATGTTAGAAAATAATGCAGTGCTGATACCAGCTGTGAGGTAACAGGATCAATAGCGTGCTTTCCCCCTCCCTGAGGGGCCTCAGCTGCAAGGCAGCAGCCTAAATCCTGTCTGCCCCAAAACCAGCCTCGAGAGCAAAGGGGCCAGGCTTCAAAGGAGGGGTTTTTTTTTTGGTTTCTGGCTGACAAGCAGCCCAGGGCTCCGGCGCGACCCTCCGCGCGGGGACGCGTCTGTCCCCGGGGGCTTCCCGGGAGGACAGAACTGGAAACGCCAGGTTTTATATCATCACGGCAGAAATAGCTCTGAGAGGCAGTGCCAAGAATACCAGCTCAAAAGAGATGTAACGAGCTCTCGGGAGAGGCTGAGCAGCAGCGTGTGATGTGGCTGCCCAGCCTGCGAGGCTGAGCGCTCGGTGCGGAGCAGCTGAGGTCGAGGTGCCCGCCGGGGAGAGACGAACCGCAGCGCTCCCAGCACAGAGTCCATCTCGGGCCACTGTCTCCCAAGATAAAGAAGCCATCGCTGTGTTTTGCTCTGTGGCCCCTCACACTTAGAGTCCTGCTTAAAACATTTTTATCTTAGCCCGGAGAGTTGCGTGTGCCGGAGGTGCTGCAGGAGGGCACGGCCGGGAGGCGGCTGTGGGGACAGCTTAGCCCAGGCAGTGGCAGGGAGGGGGCTGGTGAGCCCGGAACACAAATGGTGCCACAGAAGGATGACTGGAGAGCCATAACAATAGGTGTTAGTCTGGATTTGAGCCTCACTATCTATTGGAACGTCCTGCTTGGAAAAAAAGGGTCAGTAGCTGATATCTTCCAGTTTGTGCACCACTCTGACCACATGAGCAGTGTAAAGCTCTCTGGTCCGGCCAGGCTACAGCTTTTGTAGTGTTCACCATCCCACTTGTGTGAAGCAGGTGCTAGAGCCCCAGTCCTTCCTAGACATGAGTCACTTCAGAAGGAAATCTGGAATGGTGTTGCAGGTGCCTATTTTGTGTTCAAGGAGCCAGCAAACATCAGAGAGAGATATCTTTTGGGTCAGTGGGAGGAAGGGCAGGACTGATGCTGCATGTGCCATTCACTCCCTGAGTCCTTTGCATGCTCCAAGTGTGCCCAAAAACCAGCTTGAAGCTTGACTTCAGACTGGCAGCTCATGTCATTCCCTGCATGTGTAACCTTGTAATCGGCTGTGAAGTGTTCTGTGATCCCAGCTATGAATGATGAATGGCTCCACATAAACCTGTGCTATACAGCACTGTTAGAGTGACTTCTGAATTCAGGAAAAAAAAAAAAACACCTCTGGAAATAAAAAAGGGGGATAATTATTCCTATAGCCAGTACGTGGGATTCCCACAGTAGTAAAAAATTCCACTCTGCTGAGTAGAGGGAGGAGTGTCTCCTCCAACTATGGCAGTCAGGGATAATAGAAGATGGGCTTTTGGATGCTCATTTTCAAACACAATTTCACAACAACCTCAGGCAAGGTACTGTGGCCCTGTTCCCCAGCCAAGGAGACGTCTTCTCTCCCTCCGTGGTTGAGGCTGAGGCAGTGATGTTGGTAAGAGCTACATAAGGCTCAAGTGAGAGATGGAAGCACTACAGTTTGGCAGCCAATTAAGATGATTTAACTGCACAACTCCCTCAAGAATGAATTTGGCCCATGACAAGCTGCTCTAGACCACAGGATGTTTCATTGCCAGCACAAAAGACAAAGAGCTTGTGAAGCCTTATTTATATCTGAAAAGTCTGGCTGGAGCTTCCCAAGGTCCACAGAGCTAAGGAGTAGGAAGCAAAGCCTAAATACTGTCACTAAAAGACTGAGACTCCCCAGCCTCTCCTATGCACATGATCCAGAAGCAAAGCAATGCAGTGTCAGCTCCATATAATAGAGAGGAATTTTATTTACCAGCTGCATTTCAAAGTGATTTTAGATATCTTTTACTGGGAAAGGCACATGTGAATAGGGGGATCTTTCCCCTCCATACTGTGTCCATGCAGTTGGAAGGACCTTATTGTAGCTAATGCAAATGTGTTCAGCACACAAACCACATGTGAGGCTGATGTTAAACAGCAGTTCATGTTGATGTAAGCTACATAAGAGTCCCCGTTGATATTTCTAGGCATGTATGTAGATTGGCCTTTGGAAAGAGACATTCTCTCTTTTGGGAACCTGTTCACCCATGAGCACATGAGGGATGAGTTATTAGGTCAGCCCTCAGGAAGTGGACTGCAGGAGAAAAGATACTATGTGACATTGGCCTTCCTAGGCCAGAAATATTTGGCAAATTTGGGCAATAACATTAGGATCAGTTTTCCTCAAGTTTAGCTTGTCATTCATCTGTTAAACCAACTTTGGAGTTGTTCTCAGCTGCTTTCTGGTTGTTTCTCCTCCACGAGGTTGTGCACTGCCCCTGAGAACCTTGTCTGTTTTGCCAGACAGCCATGATTTGCAGATACCTGGAAATGGGGCTGCTGCTGTTTGTAGGATTGCATGAAGAGTTTACATTTTGAAAGGAAAAAGTGAAAAATTAAGACCAGCCACCACTACTGCCACCATTTGCTCCCTTTTTCTCAGCGAGCTCCAGGCAGACGAGGTTCATCCTTTTGGAAAGGGGGTACTGTGAGAAATGTGTGTCATTGGAGGTGATGAAGCTGCATGAAAAATACTTCTACTTTCTAGGAGAGCTGAGTCATGCTGCCAGCTCCCCTCTGCCCTGCCACCCTCGGTGAAACCTCAGTGCCTACTGCTCTCTTTCAGCATGCCAGCTCCAATCTGCTGGGGAAATGAAGCCCCCGAGTGACTGCTGCATTTGAATGGCAATTCCCACCTGCAGCAGGGGTTGCTGGAAAACTCAGCACACCTCGAGTACCCCTTAGTGCTGACCCCAGACTTTGGGCAGCATCAGGAGCCTTGTTTAACTCTGCATCACAAGTCATTTCATCCTCAGAGAGGTATAATAGAAAAAATAGAAAAAATAAAAAGAGCTGCAGAATTTGCTCTCTTTCTTTTTCTTTTTTGTTTTTTTTTTTTTTTGGCAACTCTACATTCACTGCCTATCAAGCAGGAACTAAATAAAAAGGCTGTTATTGTGCTTCGAGCCATCAATTTAAGAGCAATCACCTATGTGTTCAGGATATGCTGGCAGGGAATTATCTGCAATGAGAAGCTGCTTGCCAATCAGCCTTGTGAAACTCCATTGGCTTTATCTGTACCTGGAAGTGGCTACGACTTATTCAGTTAAGTGCTGCACTCGGATCTCTAATGCCCGCTATAGTCTGGGAGCTGATTAACCAAGAAAAGCCTCCTCCAGATGGGCATCCAGGGCATTCCCTGTGCCCCAGCCACCACCCAATGCTGCTGAAGCCCTGAGCCTGAGCTGCTGTTCCCGAGTGTGGTCCTGCCTGGCTCCAGGGAGCCACAGTGGGAGGCAGCAAATTTGCTGGGGTATTTTTTTGCACAAAGGCTGCAAAATCATGATTGGGACAGGACGTGTCAGAGGAGTAATATGGCTGGGAAACTCTGACGTGGCATTGAGGAACCAGAGAGTACCTTGGAGGAAATACTTCAATATGAAATGCTCCCCAGCCAAGATGACATGATGTCTCTGGCTTGGCCCAAGCTGTGTTTGATGAGCCTCTGCCAGCCCCAGGCAGAGAGATGAGTTTCTCCTTAAGGGTTCCTATGACTGAGGGTCTCGTGTGTGTCCAGAGACTGGATACAGACATTTTGGCAGCAGGGTCTTTTCCACACTAGTCAAATAAACCCCTTCTAGGCTCCACCGAGCTGGTGTTGGTTCAAGGACAGAGCCAGATCCTCCAGGCTGCCCCAATGTGATGGTGATGAGGGACTGGCCTTGAAAACCCTCTAACTAGTTCTGTTCTAGGCAGGAGAGGCCTCCTTCACTGCTCAGCATAGCAGACTGCTTGCTCCTGTGACATCACTGTTCTTACCACCGGTGGCATTGGGGATTTGCAGATCCCTCATGTCCAGGGCTGTCCCCAGTTTTATCCCAGCATCTGCTGCCCTCATGAAGGAATAGTTTGTTCAGCCAGCAAAGGCAAGCTTGAACCAGGACTTCCCAGGTGAAGTTGGTGGTCTGTTGGTATTCAGAACGTTAATGTAGATGACGACAATGACTAAAAATCTATCAGTTTATTAATAAGGTCACCTGATCTCACCACAGTGTCTTTGAGAGAGAGACAGTGCCTGAGCCTAAATCCAGGTTATTTTACACTAATTTAGCATGTCAAATCCCAGGGCAACTTAAATCAGACTCAGGCCTTCAGTTTTGTAGCACCAGCATGAAAAACAATGCAGCTGCATTGACCACTCAGGGTTTACACAGGTGTAACTATGATTTTGCTGTCAAAACTGGCATCTCCTGTGGTGAATGCTGGACTCCAGACCAACAGAAATGTCACCTCCGTGTCTCAAGGAGGCATTTCAATCTCAATCATCTCTGAATCAATCAATGAAAAAAGCACATCTATGTTAATAATGAAGCACCATGGGCCAGCACACAAAGCTCCCAGTGCCTGGCACTGGGGCTGCTGGTGTGTTGCCAGCCCATGGCTCAGACCCCAGCTCTCTAATTGCAGCAGCCAGTGCTATCAGCCCCCCAAAGTTGCTGTTCGTGTGTGATTCCAGGAAGGCAATTTATTACCCTGAAGAGCCCGACTCTTCTCTCCCATCCATCTATATCCCTGTGTTACGTTGTTTCTGTTAGCATAATCATTTCTCATGGAGAATGTCAATAAATGCTGGAGACAAAAGCAACACCAACACCAACACCAACAAAAGGCCCAACTGCTAAATAATTCCTAGAATGAGTTGTCAGAAACCTTTTATTTACTGATTCCGCGCATTTCATTTATTCCTGGCAGCGGGCCAACCTTTCTGACAGTTAAGATTTATTGATTTAATTGCCTAGGGTAACCATGCAATAAAATCATCTCAAAGATAAATTTTCATGGCACTGTGCAGCACCGAAGTAATTTTTCAAGTGCTATGGCTATATTTCTGCAGGTTACAGGTGCAAAATTTGCTTAAAGCAGAAATGTCTCATTATTGTAACCCCAGCACATCAGTGTGGTCCCTCCTGTGAAACTCTTCTCTTCTTTTCTTTTCCCTCTCTCCTTTCCCTTTTTTTCTCTGTCACTAGTTCCTTCTGTATCTCCCCCTGCTCCTTTTTTTTTTTAAGAGGTACAACATAGGTCTCTAGAAAAGAAATTATATTTTCTTAATTGGTTCATATATTCAATGCCCAGGAGAAGCGAAGCTTCAGTTTAATTAGTAGTGGGCTTAGAGGTTATTTACAATGTTATACAGAAGCATTTGTTTCCAGCTGTGAGATGCTTTTTAACACCGAGGCCTCACAATGTAGCTGATTGCCGTTTGTGACATTATAGTTTATTGAATCTTTAGATCTTTTTATTTACACTGTTAAAGGGCTCATTATAGTTCAGAACAAGGAGCAAATGAAAATCCCTGATTAAATCCCAGGTTAATGGCAACATGTCTGAAGTCAGAGGTAGTCTAAACTTTCAACAGTGCGAAATATTTTCTTCTCTCTTATTATTTATTTGGGGAGGGGGATGCTGTTTAGTGTCAGTGTAAGATTTAATGGCCTATTCCTCTGCCAGCCTTGGCAGCTTCCCTTGCCAGACCTGGATGTTTAATTCACTCTCCTGCCCCATTGAGGATATTTGGCCAAAGGCAGCTCCAAGGTGGTGCCAGCAGAACTCAGGCTGTGGAAGGGGTGGCTGCCGTGGCCTCTGCGAGCCATGCCAGGGCTGAGCCCAGCAGCCAAAACGTCACAGGAGAAACTAGGACACAAAGGAGAGGTTTTGCTCTGCCAGCCTGGCACAAATGCACAGTGAGGGCAGGAGACAGCTGTGCTGTGGAGACACTGAGCTCTCAGGCACCTCCTCAGGGTGACACTGTCCCTTGGGATACACTCTCCCACCACACCCGTGATGCTGTGGGTCAGTGGAGCTTCCCCAGCACCTCTGAAGGTTCCCAGAGCCCTTGGCAGGGCTGCTGCCAGGTTTGCCCTACTGAGCTCATCTTGAATGACTCTTAGTCCCGTATGCCAGTGGACTTTCCCCCACCCTGATGTCATTCTGCAGCTTTCTCCTTCTCTTCACTGCAAAGTACAGACCTGACTCCTGTCCCTTGGCACCTTCCTGGGCACTCACTCACCACTGCTTCTCCAGCTCCCAACTGCAACTGCAGAGCTGTGCTGTGTACAGAAACTGCCCAGTAAGTCAGTCACAGAAAAACCCCATATATAGAAAATGCATAAATTATCTATTAAAGTTGAGTTCAGTTTACAAGAAAGACAACTACATCTTCGGTCTGTTCATTTGGATTAGCTCCAAGACAAACATCATGTGAGATGTGTTCCTATCTCTGAGGGATAATTTGCTCCTTGTTACCAAAATCATACAGCCTGAGATGGGCAGAGTAAGGGTCTGTGTTATCATTGTTAACCCATAAATGGATCATATGAAGCTGTTTGTAAAATGACCTTATTTCAAATTATTAGTAATAAAATGTGAAATTGACTTCATGGCTCATATTTTCTGGTGGACTTGCAGATTTGCTCCACTGACAAGCTTGTGGATCTCACGCAGCAAAGACTGACTTTAAAGCCTAGGACCTTTATGCTTGCAGTTTAACCTCTTCGACCTCTACTCCTCTGACTTCAGCCTTTCATTAGGTGAAATACGAAGGCGGGTTGGATACATTAAAAAGAGTATTAGTGAGAAGAGAGGCAGTTGAATCAATAATGTCAGTAAAGGTAGACCTATTTATAGAGAAACAATGTCAGCATATGATAAACCTGTGAGTAAATTGGCCCAAAGCCCAGACCTTTGTACTGGTTTGGAGAGCTTGAAGGGATCTGAGCAGCAACAGGAACAATCAGTAATCCCAGGGCTCAAATGTCAGCCACGCCAAATGGGAATCAGAGAACCCAAAAAAAGTGTTCTGAGGTGGAAGAGGAAGGATGGAAGGACAAGGGGAAATTGGCATACTTTCAAGTGTTGCCAAAGGAAAATGACAAGTCCTTAAGGCTGGGCAGTGATAGGAAAAGCTGAGGGCCATAATTTCTCTCTTCGAAACAGGGAGCTGATCAGGCTGAGCAGACCTCCCACCCTCATACCACCCGTAAGCCTCCAGGCACCTAAAATCAACAGGCACCTCCAAATTCAAGACAAAACCTGTCCAAGTATTCAGAAAAAAAAATCCCACATTTACTAACTGGATACACAAGTCCTTCCATTGATTACCAAGAGAAGAAACTTGGCAGATCCAGAGAATCTGGTTCACCCTGACCAAACTGATACTTGAGCTTGGCTTTTTTTTTTATAAGGTAACAGACCACAAAGCAATTTGAGTACAGTCTGGACTCTATACTCAGATCTATAAGTAACTAATATTGACTAGATGTGACATCTTATTTCTTTTCACTGACTCTACAGAAAGTCAGGGGATGTGAGTTTTATTTAAGTTAATGTTGTAGACACAAATCCTAAGGGTCTTTGGGTCCTACTGTGACAAGTCACATGCTGAATGTACTCTTGGTAATTAACATTAGTTGGGAAATTTTAAAAGAACACAATTCCTGTTTCATGTAAACACTTGAGCAACTCCTGTTCTAGTTCCAAAGCATTTTTTTTCCTCAATTGTCAAAATTCTCCTCTTCACTCTGGCTCTGAAAATTGCAGTTTTGGGATAAATTCTCTATGTTCTTCCCAGGGCACTCAGAAAACTTCAGCCTGAGTTACAGCGTGTCCTTTGTTCTGTTTCCTTAGGTTCTGAGATGTCCTCAGTGAAGTAGGACACACCAGATGATGTGGGTGGTTACGTTTCTGCTTAACTAACTCTTTCTGCTATTTTTTTTCCTTTTGCAATTCACTGCTGCTCTGGGCAGGCTGACAGCCCAGGAATGTGAGAGTACATGAAACCTGATAGATTTATGTTTGTGGGGGGAGCTCAGAAATTGCAATCAAATTGAGAAGCCTTCTAGTGAATGAAAACTCATTCAGAAATAAAACAAGTGAAAAAGAAAAAAAAAAACCCTGCCCTTAGTGGTGGGTACATAGATCCAGATGTGTACCATACAAGTGTTCCCAACGAGCTAACCTGGGAGGAGATGGGCCCACAGCAGTGCACACAAATCACTTAAGCCCTGCCAAAAATCCACAGTATTGAGCCCTTCCAGGAATCTCAGTTATCCTCATTTGAAGTAAGTGATCAAGTGAGACAACAGTATCAGGTGGCCAGGTTAATGTCTCATGAGTGGTGGTCTCTGGGAGCCACATCCTAAACCACGCTGGGGCTGCTGGTTTTGCTGCAGTAGACTCAGTGTTCAGTCTGGAGCCACATTGGCCCAGCTCTGGTCACCCAGTGAATGTGTGCTAGATGTCCCAAATGGAACGTAAATTAAAAGGGAAAGGGCTATCAATCATGTTAAGACCCCTACTGACACATACTGTGCTCACACACATAGCATAAACATCTCCAAAAAGCACACTTTTAAAGAACCAGAATTACAAGCTGTTCCAAAACCTCTGCACTTTATTAACATTGAGAATGTGTCCTTTGATATAAACTCTTCTAGAAATGATTCAGATGAATTAGCACAGGAAAATCTTGCTGAGTTGGAGAGCGCTGAATCGGAAGCAGTGCAGTCAGTGAATAATGAAAGTAAACCATCATTCCGAAGTATGACTAATGGTGACATGGCCTGTCTAGAAGAACAAATAACCAAGACATACTACTTGGCCCCAAAACTGGGCTGAACATCTTTTGAAATTACTTCACTGCTGTATGAAGACTATTAACAAAACAGGAAACCCTGCCAACTTGTGGACTACAAGTCCAATGAGGGAGAATTCCACTTGTCCACAGGAGAGACAGATGATTCACTTCATGAAGGAGCGGGACTTATTACTCTTAGAGGCAATATTAATAGATCCATCCAAAATCGCTCATGGAACAGATCTATTGATGTTGCCAAGATCCTTAGCTGAAAAATGAGCAGAGAAACTTGAATCTGCAATGTAGAATGCTGCCATGAAATGATTACATTTTGTGGCACCTAAAACGCTTTTATCAAAGGATGACTTGACGAGACATCAAGATAGCTAAATGCTTAAGACTGCATGTCAGTCAAAAACTTACATGTATTATTCAAGATGCAGACTGAGCTTCAGTGAGGCAGAGGGAAAATACCAAACTAAGGCTTACGGAGAGTGCGTTTGTGTAAAGATAGGAGATATCTTTTGCAATCTAAGTCCATTCATTCTGCTTCTTGGGCTAGATGCATTGGGTGTGACTTAGCCAACTGCATGGGGAATTAATTTAAGCCACAGAGTCTAATTCAGGAGGTGCAGGAAATACTTTGTCTCAGCCTGGTGTGGTTCCAGGACCCAGTTAGGGCCGCAGAGGTTTTCAGCTCTGTGCTGGTAGCCCAGCAGCTAATGGCTGCCAGTTGTAGTATGAAGTAAAAGAAATGGCTGCCATCAGGAAAACGCCTTTTCTTTCCAACAATAAGGGCAAGAACAACTCAGCTGCAATTCACATTTACTACAATGACCCACCACTTGAGTGCTCTCACAACAAAGGAAGGTACTCCCCTACCCCCACATTTTGGAGCCCTAACACCATAACTTACCCATTCAGCATCTCAGTGCATATCCTGATCTTCACCTGCTTTGGGGTGGCCAGGAAATAGAGAGCTCACATTTTCAATTATCCCCAAAGAAATGGTGTAGCTTTTTTCTGTGATGAGCTCTGTACACAGACTCAGCTGCAGAGCACAGCAATGGTTGTCCAGAACACACGAGTCCTGCTCAGGAGAGGGATGTGCAGCTGAAACCATCACTGATCTTTTTTTACATCATCAGAGCTTTACAAAAGGCATGAGCCATATTCTCTCCTGTAAAACACCAGAATCAGACAATCAGACTCTAGCTAAACAGCAAAAGCATCCTTTCTACAACAAATGAACAACTAGAAGAGACAATGTATCTCTAAACCTTTATGCATGTACACATATATATGCTTTTTAACTATGTCAATGTCCTAAGGGTTGGCTAAGAAGCCAAGGAAATATGCATTATACAGTCCAGAGCTGGCCTTTATAAAATTCTCAGTCATTCTATTGACATTATTTCCTACAGACCTCTCAGAGCATCTGACACAAAATGATTTTTCCTATGGAATTGATCAAAATAGTGGCAAAAGTAACGCGACAAAGAATCAGGGAAATAATCAATGACAGCAGAGTCCAAGCTTGGGAATAACCCATCACCAGTCACACAAAGAGGAAGAACAAATACTTTATCTCCTTTCCTCTGTGTGGTATCACCTGAGAAAAGGACAGGGTCAAATTACTGCACTGTTAAAACCAGGAGTGAAACAAAGGTAAACACAGCTCATGTTTGAATTGCTGTCTCCTTGCAACTGTCTAATTGTGTCTACACCCAAAGGGTTTGCAAGGCAAGAGTAGGAGCAGAATGACAGAGAACTGCCTTAAAAATCTTAAATATGCTTATTCAGGGGGAAAAAAGCAAATTTTTCTATAGGGCACAGGTATCAATTAAACCTTCCAGTGGGGACATCTCCCTTGTGCTCCCAACATTAGCACTGGCTATGTTACACAACTCTATTTACACCTTTAGTTAATATGAATGAGTAGTTACCATACCAATTATTACTTTTTACAGTGTACATAAAGTTCTTGATTCAGTTAAGAGACAGGGTCAGTGTTTAAGCTGAGCTCAGCATTTAGCAAGCTTTCTTTCCTAGATGTTTTGATTACTTAGGAAAGCTTTAACCTCTACGACGTAATGAAGGACTGGAAAGTTGTAGGGTAATTTGTAGGAGAAAGGGTGTGCATGAGGATATATGCACTATTATAAAGCTCAATAAATAATCATGTGAAATTGCTGGCATTTAGGACCCTCTAGAGGGGAGCTTTCCCAGCCGGCTGCTGATCCCTCATACCCTGAGTAATTCCAGATTAAATCCACTGACTTTGTAGAAGTGTATGTGACATCAGAAACCTACCATGTATTTCCAAAACGCACGTTAATTGGCTCCAGACAGTGGCAAGGGGGTTGTACATGGCTACAACCATAGGGCTTCCCAACCATCCCCAGGGTGGCTCAGAGGGAAAGTGGTGCAGAGCTCAAACGGTCAGAGCTGTGGGAATGATGCAAGATGTCTTCCACTTGCATTTTATTGAGAGAGCCCATAAAATTCAAAATCCAGCTGTGCAGGTTGGTTCAGTCTGCCTATTAAAAGGGCGGCGTTTTCTCATGCCTGTGATTGATATGGTTTAGGCACATCTGTGTACTCGCTTAACCCCCTTCCCTCCACCCTCTCCATCTCAAACCACTGCCTAGACATGAAAAGTGGGAATTTTGTCTTATGCACATGAGCATAAAAAACGCTTCTTGACTTCCACTGAACAACAATAATTGCTGGTTTGCTTTGATCCCCTCTCAATGCTAATTTCCCCCAGTTTTTCTCAGGGAAAACATGGAAGTCCACACCAGGGTAATCAGACCTTTTTCTTTCTTCACCTCTAAGGAGCAGGAAAGAGGCAGCTTGGTAAAGTGACCCGGACACATGTTACAACAGATAATCAATGGCTCTAGCAAAATGCACATGAAAGCATTCAAGCCCATGTTTCAGTAAACATTCTCCAGAATCTGTGGCTATTTATCAAATATGAATGCACTCTTCAGGATGAGGATCTCATTTCCCCCGGTGTTTTTGTTCCAAAAATAATTGGAAGTGACAATACATAGAAAGATGATGTTTCAACTTCATGTTTAAAATAAATATAAGGCTGTCATCAGAGCTGAGCTGTCTTGTGAAGATCCCTCTCATAGGAGTCAACAGGCAGCTCTGCTGATAGAGAATCGTGTTCCATTATTGATTAGCTTTTAAGTTCTTGTTACATATTAGATTAGGATCGCTGTATGCATAGGGAATGAATAGCCCAATTACAGTCTAAAATAGCTCATCTCAAAGTGGTTTAGGATTTTGATATTATAGAAAGAATTTTAAGGAAATTACAGGGTTTATTAAAAAAGCCTTTAAGGGAGATATTTACATTTTTATTGCATGGCTTTTCAGGATGGGGAGGGCAAACTATTCCTCCTTATATTACATACCAGGCTGCTTTTAGCTCCCTCCCAATTAGCTTTTCAAATCTTTGGGAGTTAGGGGTTTGCTATATGGGGAGCAGGTTTCCTGCACAGAAAGTACCAGACTAAGCAACCCCAGAGTTACATTTCCTGATTCCCCCAGTTTAAATGGGAGCACCCTACACTGAAATCCATACCAGGCTCTGTTCTGAGTGCAGCTGCTGAGACTCCAGGGCTTATTTTGGAGCCAGTGATGGTTCCTAGCAAAAGCTGGCATTCAGATGCTCTGCTGCTTCTTACTCTTTTGTGCAGGAGGGAAAACCTATCGGTGGTGCTCAAAGAGTCATAGATCCCTGCCCTGGCCCTCAAGGGCACTGAGCATTGACCACCAAAGTAACTTGGAGTAGATTCAGGGCTGATCAAGCACATCCCAGTTCTCAGCAAAGGCACCAATCCCAGTGACTCCTGTGGACACAGGGGCAGCACCATTATAATAAGATATTCCTGAGAGTGCTGCTTAACCTGCTTTAGTGTCGTCAGTTTTGTAAGACTGGAGCAATTCTAGGGATTTATCCTTAATTTTCAAAAGCAAGTAATGTTTTTGCTAAAATCTAGCAATCTTGAGGACAAGACATTTTCAAGACTAGGTAAGCAAAGTCATAGCTGAGGGGGTACAGAAGCCCAAACTCAAACCTCAGCTCCCCATATCTACTCATCACAGCACTGACAATATCATATTTCACAGGTTTTGTTCCCTATAACAACCCTGGATATTTTGGTATAGAAAGCAACCACCCTTTTTCTACAGAGAATTTCTATCCTTCGGTGAGGTGGAACAGTTTTTAAAATAGATCTGACTTTCCCTCAAATTTGCCTAATTAATCATTCCCTTCACAGGTTAATTTGAGGCTAGCATTGACCACATCTCCAACAAAGCATGGAAAAGGTCACCAGAAATAGATTGCCAAGGCCTTGAAGGGACTCTGTGGACAAATGGTTGCCACTACCCAACACTATAAAAATGTGATTAAAGGTAAAAGGAAGAACCAGGTGGGAGAGTTGCATGACCCCAGGATCATTGCCAATGAAAAAACACAGTGAAAAGATTTAGTAAGGCCTCCAGGCCCACTGACTCACTCCTTTTGGAAGGTAATATATGAAATCTTTAAGGAAAACTTCTGCTCACTGAGTCGTACAGCACCAATAGATCCATAACATTCATATTAGTCTGCCACATAAGAAGCTCAAGTTCCCTTATTTTTCCACAGCTGCAAGCAACACAAGCACATGGAAGGCTTCCCTTCAGGAATGAAAGTCTGAGTCCTCATATAGGTGTACACACAGGGTCACACTGGCCACTCAGGTCAGACATCTCTCTTCTTTACCCCTCCTGAACTGTATGCTAAGATATCCACATGAATTTACAGTGCCTTTCTAAATAAGGACCCATTCTGTGAGGTGCTCAGTACAGCAGTTTAATCCAGGGAAGTATTTTTTTAACTGAGGCTGCTTGCACATGTTTAAAATTAAACAGATGGACACTTGCTGGCTGTGAAATGCAAAATACAGATGTCTGCTCCACTTTATGTATATCTGCAACTTAATAGGGAAATCTATATCTTCATACAGGAAGAGTAGAGGTGAACTTAGAAGGAAAACAGGTTGTCTTGAGCCCAGTTATTTTTTGAGCTTGGGGACACTCCTATCCCAAGTGCACAGGTACAGCTGCAGATCCCCATTACTGGATGGTGGACATACCTGGTGGACATCCAGAAGGAATGAAAATAAGCTACATGGACCACATGAGAGATGAATAGCTGCATCAACCACTTGTTCTTCAATTTTTTAAGTTCAAAGTGACTCTTGGTCCAGGACACTGTGTGAGGAAATGTCTTCAGAAGTTCACTGGGTTTGCATCCTTCTCCTGGGAATTTTACTGTTTGGTCCTTGAAGATAAGCCCAGGGACAGGGACATGCTCCTGCCACACTGGTGTCCTGCACAGTGACCTGTGTAGGGACTGGGCAAAGCTCCCGTGCCTTGGTCTGCTCCAGAAGCTGCTCCATCACTCAGCAGCTCCATTAGTCCCTCCAGATTCTTATGTCTAAGTATCCACTTACTCAGCCTACAATGAGGATGATTTCTGTTAGACAACAAAAATTTTAGAAGCAAACAGACGAAGCTGACAAATGCACAGAGGATGTGCTTCAGTCTCATTAGAGCTCCATGTCTTTGACAGTCTATGTGGTCCATCATCTGCATTAAATAACTTGCACAATACTTACCTGTCCAAGTAGAGACTGTACTTCGTTCATAGTTGTACATTTTGTAGCCTTTAAGCAAGACCAGAGTGCTCTCCTAAAAAAAAAAAAAGATAAATTATTTTTATCATTATCATTATTATTATCATTATCACTGCTATCGCTAACACTTCCTTATGCTTAGAAATGGTCCTCTGCTTTCCTTTACTTCAGTAAAGCAAGAGCAATTATGTAGCTTCATCCATTTCTCTAAAGGGCTGTGTGAAAAAAATGTTGCTTTCAAGAAAAAAAAATGATAATTTTTTACAAATACATAAAATAAGGCATTTTTGAGAGGCATTTTCACATATTGCTGAAATTACACGCAATGTGTGAAAATTTGCATAACAAATGTGACAAGATGGTTACTTAAGGGACTGAAACAGAAGGAATAAAATATATATTAGATACCTCATCTCTCATTAATTATTATTCTGAATGAGAAATAATGCCAGGAGCAAGAGGGGTGCCAGAAGAAGCGATGGGGAAATATATTACCATGTATCTAAAAACCTTTAAAAGGTGTAATAATAATTAGGAAATTATTGCACTACTGATCTTTTTTAGTAGCAGAGCAACCACCTGTTCACACTTTTATTAATTGGTTGCTCTCCTCTTCCTTAAAGATGGTCTGTGAAGATTGTTAAAGGAAAAGCAACCTGAGAAAAAAAGAGGAAAAAGAATTCATGTTATGCAAGCAAAAAAAAAGTCCCTATAAAATTACTAACTTTAATTAAGAGTCACAGGTGGAAAGACAGTACTACTTTAAGACTGGTTTATAGCAAAACATAATTTGGCTTCAAACAATAGTGATGGAAGAGAGTGAATGTTATTAATGCTGATTTTGTTAATTTGCTCCAAATGTCCTGCCTCTCCCAGCTTTTCTTCCCAGTGCTCCCTAAGGTGTCAGTGGTGCAGACATGGAGCTAAGGCAGCTCTGTGCCCAGTGCTGGGGCCAGGCGAGGTGGTGGCCACAGGAGCCCTGGGCTTACCCAGTCGTGCCCTGGGGTGACCCACAGCGGCACGTGGTCTCAGGCAACACCCCCGGGGTAAAGCTCTTGCTAAGCTGGAAAACTGCAGACTTTCTATTTTGGGGAATAATGCCAGTTAATGTATGTTTGTTGTCAGACATCCATCTCCTGGACCACACTGCCACGTGCTGCTCAGGCCCCCACTGCTCCCCTCATTCCTGCTTGCCCACAGATGGAGATGAAAGCCCGGAGGTGTCCTGTGGCTGCATCGATCCCTTCCCTGCCACTGCTGTGGGAAGAGACACAGCACAGCACAGTCACCACGGGTGTTTGTGCCCACCGTGCTCCATAACTATGGCAGGCAATTTTGCAAGCACTTCTCATTATTCCCTCCTTTAGACTTTGAAACATCTACACTTTATCTCTCCTAAAACACAGAAATCCTTTTTTTCTATCAACCTCTTTCCTTCAAATCTCCTGTGGAAGCAGCACAGAATTTCCTATTTGCTCCTTGCTGCAGCCAAATCTTGACTTAGGTTTCCCAAAAGCTTTTGTCTTGGCCATCTCCCACAGATAGCAGTTTTGCTTAAAAGCAGAAGTGCATGTCCATTTTCCCTGTTACTCTCCCTTATGTTTCTTGTTTTCTATTCCCTTGCTTGAACCTCTTCTCTCTCAGCTCCAGTGTTTGCAGGCTGTATCCTCACTGTTTGCCCTCATTGAAAGGTGGTCCTCTGCCTGTGTGCTCCATCCAGGAGCTGCTGACCTCAAAACCAAGTCCAGATGGCCACAGTATAGGCACCTCCACCACTGCCATCCCATTCACCCAATCCACCCTCACATGGGAGTGGATAAAGTAAGCTCAGTATGGTCAGAAATAGGTGAGAGCAAAACATCTGCTATGCCATGGCACTCCTAATTCCCAAATACCTTTTACCTCATCATTCTGGAAATAACTCCATTCCCTGACATCCCTTTGGAGCCCAACAGCTGGGGCAGGCAAGCTGGAGGGGGAGGGAGGTGGAGAGGGAGGCAAAACACTTTACCAAGGATCCTCTGCTGGTAAAAGACTGATGGTGCCAGTTCATTGTGCCATTCCCTGCTCCAGCTGTGAGAGGACCCCTGTGTTCTCTGTGGGCTCTGTGTGCCCTCACCTTGGCACCTACACCAGGATGAGCACCAGCAGTGGCTCCTGTGCAGGGCAGGGACCCCACGGCTCTGTCTCAGGGGGCTGGAAATGCAGTTTCACTGCACCCACCTCCCACTCTGAACATGAGTGCAGCAGATAGCAAAAGCTAAATCCATTTAAAACAATTTTAAGAGGGAAAATAAGGCCCTTTCTGGGGATATTATTTCTAAGTCATGTTTTACTCTGCCATTAATATACTTTTGGAATGCATGAGAGCTCCCTGCACCCAAGGCAGGTAATAAAGGTCTATTAAAAGACACCATCTCTGTTTCCTAATGCTCTATCGAAGGTTCATTGATGAAAATAGCCATCTGGCTGCTCTCATCAGCTTTAAGGAATTCCATAAAAGAATGAAATATGATTTCCTCATAATTGCTTTTCTGTAAGATTTATGAGAATGTGAGTAACGAATAAACTGGGCACTTGCTGAACAAGACTCAGATTTAAGATGTGCTGATGCAAACGAGGAAGTGTCCAACTAGAAGATGCATTTCTTGGGAGAAATTTGAAAGTGTTTGCAAAAGCCACGAGTTACCACAAACACCTGGCTACGTTCACTGCTGGTATAAACACATACAGCTCCAGGGAGGCCAAAGGCACTGCATTGGTGTGCTCCAGCAGTAAATTTAGGTCTTGGACAGCAGCTATGTGAAAAGCTCACAGCTGAGAAGAGGACTTTGACAGCATCTGGAAGATGTCCTGGGTATAGCTATGCAGCTGATTAAGCAGCAGCATGTTCTTTTGCCACCTGCATCTGATGATATTGTATGAGAGAAGCACGTCACATGCTTGGGGGATAAAAAGCAGGCCCTTAATGCCTGGCAGCACTGTTCATACTCCTGCCAAAAGTAAAAGTGGGAATGGACTGTGTGATTAGTGCTGTGGGATAATTAAATCCCATTTGCCAGCTATTCATCTGTCAGAGTGCAATGGTCATCACTGTGCCTTTTTACTATTATGTCAATTATGTGGTCCTATGACCTTTTGACTTCAGCATCATCTAAAGCATAGGATTGACACTTTATCTATTTCCAACTCTGATATTGGTTTTTGGTGTTGCTTAACTTTTTTGTCATCTTTTCAATCTCCAGGACAGGAATAATCAGAGAGTCATCTAGGTTGGAAAAGACCTTTAATGATTCCTTGCCCAATTTCATTGCCCTTTAGGAGGCAATCACATACTACAGATGTAAGCGCCACTTTAATACTTGTAAACATGCCTGTCTCACCCTGTAGAAAAGGCAGTCATTACACTCTCATTCAATGCAAGCAAACTATTTAGTCCTGTGCAGTGAGGGTCTAAAATTGCTAATGGATGCCCATTTCTGAGGGTGCTCCACCTCTATGAGTGTTTGACATGCCCACCTATGTGTCCCCAGCAAGCTCAGGGGTATCCCAGTCCCATACAGAAGTTGAGAGGAGGTGGTGAGCATTAGCTGGTCAGTGCTAGAAGATGTGAATAACGCGAGGGTAGATGCTTTTCTGAGTTTTTAATCTGAAAATTTTGAATCTACCAAAGTTTGAGTCTGTACAAATACACGTCTCTCAATCACCCTCTCCCAAGCACTTTCTCTCAACACTTTCTCTCTTTACAAACACATGCATTTTAAGACTTGCAGCATGCATATATTTGGGTACTATCTGTACCCAGAAAAGCTAGTAACCAGCATCAAAAATTTTGCTACATTTTTTAACTAAATTTTACTAAATATTTAAAATTCATCACAGCTATAAGCGAGAGCAGAGTATGAAAGGGTAAGAGCCAGCCATTCTGGTAAGTCAGTGTTACAGCCACGCTTTTAACATTCCAGTTATTCGTTCTGCTATTTCTTTTTTTATTTTTTTTTTCAGCTAATTACATCAATAAGACTTTATGAAAACTGTTGCCAAATGTTTAAAATTAGAGCAGTTCAGTTGTTATTTCAGTCCCAGGTTACTGAGGCAAATTGTACATGCTCACCTCGTGCATTCATTTGTGAACATTGGGCATATCAGTGATTAATTAATATTAATGGCAGAAATCACTTCAAACTTGCTTTATGCTAGAAATCACACACAATCTTGACTCTAATCACTCGGCACATAAAGAAACTTTAATTGATAACCCAGGTTTAATATCCATCAGAAATGGATTCTGTAGGAGGAACAGAGCAATGTTCCCTGTAATCATCCTAGAGGAGATAGAAAGCTTGTTCTACCAACATCAAAGAAGATTAGGCAGCAGAAGCCTGATAGTAAAGTAGCAATTATGGAGGGCTTTTTTAATTCTGTGCACCTGCTTCATCAAAATAATAGGCATCTTTTAGCAAAATAACCTGAAACTCAGTTCACTGACTTTCAATTATCTGATGCTGGGAAATGCATCTGGAGAGACATGAAAAAAGGTGATAGACACACAGAGAAATAAAGAGAAGGGGGAAATTAGAATGAGGAAAAATATGAGGGCCTAAGTAAGTGGGTGTTATAAATATCCCGTGCCTTGGGCTGAATATAGAACAGGAATACTTTTGCTGAGTTATGACTGTGGCATCAGGCACATCTGACCAAATCAGTCCCTGCTAGAGCACCTGTGACTACAGCAAACAGCTTACCCTAGGGACAGATTTGGCTGATTGCTTTTAAGGGGAATTTTAGATATCAAAACTTAATGCAAGCTAAGGAAGCACATGGTAACTTCCCACAAACACTTCAGGCTGTATAACTCAAAGCAAAAATGACTATCCTCAAATTGCCCCTTATCAGGTGGTCTTGCTATGCAAGGAATGACCACATAAGTTTCTTTCAAAAGGTGAATCTAAAGTTCTTCCCTGCAGGTGAGAAGGGGGAGAAAGCCCATACGCAGTCTTGGTTTTCTTAAGGAACTGCATCCCCATTTCTGGAAAAGCAAAAATCAGAACCAGATTTAAGAAGTCTACCTGGGGTTTGGTACCCTTCCTTGTTAAGTTCCAAGGGCACTGCTTGTTTTTCAGTACATCCCAATTTTTCCTGAAAACACTTTTTTGGAGATCAGTGGGTAATTCACTTCAACATCCCATGATCTGCCACCCTGGTGCCTCCAAAGGCAGAGCATAGCAGAGTTCTAAACAGAGAAAAGCTGCATTACTAGCCCCATTACCAGGAGGAGTTCTTGTCAGGCTTGGGTCAAAAACAAAGACAGCACTTCTCCATCTTTTTTTCCAGCTTTACATCCCTGTTAAATTTACTGTGCTCCCTTACACACATCTCAGTCTCTCCTCCATTACATACAATCACCCACACCTCGTTCTGACTCAGAAATGATCCCCACATGGATGCAGGTCAGGAGAGCTGCTCTCCATTTTATCTCCTGAACTCATGTTTCCCTGCACACATCCAGCAGATGCTGCTCCATATGCTGGAGGCTGAAGCACAGGGGATCATGATGCAACAACCATGACTGGCAGAGGCTGATCCTTCAGCAAGAATCACAGCCACATCCCACTTCATGTGAATGAAATACAAGTAATTCCATTGTAATTAAATAGGAATTTTTGTGTGAATTCCAAATGAACCTTTGTAACATTTTCATTAGTCCTCAATACACCTCTTATTTTACCTCATTAGAATTACTGGTAATAAATGGTAGTAACTGAATTGTAATTAAATAGGAATTAAAATTTGACTTCCTAATGAACTACAGCAAAGCAATCACTATTTCAATATACATTAATTGCTGTTCTGTTAGGAATACAGGCAACTTATTTTTATTGAATTGCTACAAATTATAATGAATATATGGCCTGAGCCTACAAAATGGTCTCACATCAGTAAGTGTGCCTGGTAGATGTCAGACAGCTGTGCAGGAAGCAGATCTACCCAAGGAACTTGGGACTTGCAGCATGCTAATGCCAGTAGAGAATACACTGGATTATGACATTCCCAGAATAAACTTTCATTTCAGAACCTCGCTATTAATTTACAAACAGAACAGACAAGATGCCATTGGGGCTGCCATTGGGGAAGTGGACTAAAAGGTGTGAGAAACCAATAGCAATAATACTGGACTAGTGCATTTTTATGTTATTGGCCGCTGTTTGATTATAATAAAAGTGCTTTGTAATATATCCTGGGGTGGTAAACTGCATATAGAAAACCCCATTTTATTATTTATACATTCTGTCTCTGCATGTAGAAATATATATAATATATGAATGAATAAAATTTCACTTCTATGACTGTTCTAGATTTAAAAGCCACAGATTGCTGTTTCCTTGTATTACTGTTGTGGATGTAGCAGGCGTTTGGTGTAAGAAGTGTAAGCTATGAGAGGCATGTCTGTAAAAGGGAGTGCTAACTATTTAACAGGGGCTGGTATCCATACTCAGGGCAGACTTTCTGGTTTAGCGGGATGGGTGGGGGAGAGAGCCCAAAGCTTTCTGTTGTCACTTTGAAAGCTGGCAGCAGCCTTCCATCTCCAAAGTGATGGACTCTGGACTGAATTCTCCAGGCTTTAACAGAGTGTGAATTCCCCCATTGACTACCGAGGAGTTTTTTCCATCCAATTTCTGGCCCATCATGTCATCTCATGCTGTTGATTTTTAGGGGACAGCAGCAGCTGGTCATCACAGACATGGGACAGCCAGTTTGTTTGGCACAGCATGAGCCAAACACACTGATGTGACCACAGGGTCTGTCTCAATGTGGTTTTACATGCCCTGAAACATCCTCATGACTCCATTTTTTCACCATTGCTATCATTTTCGCTCTCCTCATCCTGCAAAGTGAGTATCTGACTGACATTTACAATCCCTCTGGATTTCCAGACCCAGCAGGTGAAATTCAGAATCAGGCTCTGGGATAGGAACTGCGAGAGCCAGTCATGTGTGGGCTTGGGAGAGGGCAGCTCACTGCTTAGGCATCCTTGTTATACTGAAATTTAAATCACAGAGATTGAACAGGGAAAGCAAACTCACTTTTTCAATTTTGTTACCTAATCAAAACTCTGAAGCTTTCTAGTGCTGGAGAGTGTTCACATATCATCCACTTTCCATATCCAATGCTGACAAAACAATAAGGCAGGAATAACATAAGTCGTGAGAAAACTAGTCTGTCTCATAAATCTTCACAGGAAAGTGGCCGCTGTTTTATGTTATTGCAGTGTGTTGTTTCCAATGAAGTGATTACTGTTAGATGTATTTTTAAATTGCTTTTGGTATTTTTAAAAATACATGACTTGGAGAGTGATAGAAATGAGATTGAGTGGCGGTAGGCAGTGCCTACAATATGATTAACTTTTTCCCAGACCAGCTACTTTGGAAATTAAGGTTACCAACACAGCTGTTGTCAACTTTCCCCTGGCTGGAAAGGACTCATTGGAGTCTGTTTGATGTATGCAATTATCCTACAGCCCACTTAAATCCTCCTCCTGCTTCAGACACTACGCGGGCTTGCGTTCTGCTTCAAGTTGTTTGATTAATATTTGCTAGTGTTATTTTAAAGTGTGAATGTGCATGTTTATGCACTAAATCCCTGTAGCACAGAGTCTGAAGTTACATCCTGTTGTGACTGACAAGTTGTGGTTTCTGTCCACGGAGGGGAGGAACCACTTTGTGTGTTAACAGCTTCAACCAAGGCACACACGCTTCCAAAAAGGCTGAGCTACGTTTTAGATAAAGTTCATTTGGAAGACATTCAAGGCAATAAATATCAAGTGAGAGGTTTTCTCAGGGCTTTACAAGTCATTAAAACTCCAGGTAGATTTTACCTACCAGAGGCTTCACTTGTGGCTTGCTGAGTTCACACGGTCCTTTTCCTGCATATCATCGTATTCCTTCCAGTGGCTAATGAAGCCTGTAACCATCCCAGGGCCCACCTACAGGGTCCCTGCGTGCTCCACAGACCAGGCACTACAGGGTTAAGCTTGCTCAGACAAGAGGAGACTCAATAAGAGGCAAAAGGAAAATGAATTAGAGGAAAATCAACAGGCAGCAAAGGAAAAACTAAATTACATTTCATGTACACACATGCACTCTTTTGGCTGGAGGGGCAGAAAACATAGCCAAAACCTGGCTGTTTTTATTCTAAACAGTGCATCAATCCATTGATTAATTTTACACTTTGTTCCTTATGAACCTGGGCTGGGGCCATGAATGCTGCTATGAAAAGAAGAATATAGCCAAAAAGGAACTCTTAAAAAGTTGGCAGCTGTTTCAAGGCAATGTGTCTGGCCAGCAGGAAGGAGATGGCTCCTCCAGGGAAGTGTATAGAGCTGTAAAACCATTTGTGAACTGGCCCAGTTCAGTTTATAAGGTGTGTGACTGACTTAAAGTCAAGTTTCTTGCACAAATTTGTGACTTGTAAATCGAATTATAAAAGCAGTCTTAAGTATCATTTTTCCAAAAGGGCATTACAAGATTGGTTAAGAATGACTGTATTTCCTCACTAATACCATTAACTTCAGAATTGTTTCCATCCATTACTGAGTAGAACAAGGACAGTTTACTGTAAATTGCTCCATGCTGTGTGGTTCAACTGGTCAGCTTCATGGTATAAAAAGCATAAATAAAGCAAAACCAAATCAAGGAATACAATAAAACACCATGGACCAACTTCAGTCTTGGTATAATCAAATTCAAATGGAAATTAATGGAGTTGCACTCACTCACACCAAGGCTGACACATCCCTTGGTCACAGAGCAGGGGGAGGCAAATGTCACCTCTCTGTGTTGCTTCCCAGGAACAGCCACGGTGAGCAGGTGAAGCCTATGAGCTCATTCCAGTTACCTGCTATCTGCTGCCTAGGTGTTTTCTGGAAAGCTTAATTTAGCCAGGATCCCTCTTTTGTAAGTGTGTATTCCTTTCAGCAAGTTAGGAGGTTAAGGAATGATTTGGGAAATACCCTTAAAATCTCTCCAGGGTAAGCCAAGAGTGACTTTAAGTGGGTGGAGATCTGTGTAAGATCTCAAGAAAATCAGATAGAAGGAGGGGGGAATTCTGTCCGTGATATATCTTACTTGTCATCCAGACCACGTTGCTTAGTGCAGGAGAGGGACGTGAGTTTCCATTTACAGGAGGTTCAGAAATCCCAGGCCACTGCTTGTATGAAGCAAGGGATAGCACGAATCCCACTTACTGACAGAGAAACTCACCTTCTGTAGAAAACTTACACAAAACCAGGGCACCACTGCCTTAAAACAGTGGATCAGCAGAGGCCCAGGACACAGGGGTTTCACACAGGCAATCTGACCATTCCCTGGATGAACACACAGCACTCCATGGTCACATCCCTTCTGGCATCTGCCTGGGAGTTTGGCTCAATGGTGAATGTGACTTGTGATCAAATTTGGCAACTGCAATGAGAAAACATGGTATTTAGGTGACTTTATAAACCATTGCTCATCTAAGCCACAAAGCTGCTGCTGCTTTGGTTGTTCAACTATTCAATTTTCACACTTTCTTAGTGCCTACAACCTCAACATAAACACTTCTGAGCAAACAGGAGATCCAAAATCTCTGCACAGAACCAATTCTTTCCCTTCTCACTGTATTTCAGTGTTGCTAATTGCTAATTAATCACAGACTTTACCCATCCCCCCTCTTGCCCAAGTTTTATGGTTGAGGTTTTGTTTGAACTGTGCTTCTCCCAGCTGAGCAGTGCTTGAGGGTCAACAGAGCTGTGCCATGTACTGTGAAAAGTGATGCTTCTTTTAAGGGGCCTCGTTATTGAAATAACTTTTGAGTTAATGTTTGGAAATAACTTTGAAATGAGGACTTGCACAGATTTGTTTTCTTAGTGCAGCAATTAGCTCCTTGAGCAGTGACTGGCTGCAGTACCTTCTGCCATGTCTGACACATTAAATAAATTTTGCACTCAGTTCATTAGTTGGAAATACACTTTGTAATACCTGCCGAGTTACAGGACACGCAGCAAAGCCACAGTTCACTTCAACTAGAAAAATGAAGTCAGGTTTTGCTGCTCCTGCATAAACAAAAAAGGATGGGGGGAAAAAAAGGTAAATAAGATACTGTTTTTCCTACCAGTTGGCTCAGTCCGTTTGCTTCAGAACACTGCCCCTCTGCCTTGCTCCCTTTTTAATTATCAGGTTGTGATTCTCTCTTTCCCACCAAGTTGGACAACCTCAGCAAAATCTCCCATTGCTTCTGGTGGAAAAACACAGCATTGGTTATTTTTAATGAAAGTACAATGTCACAGCCTCAAAAAACAATTTTAGTATTTTTCCTGCCAGTCCAGCTCACTGAGGAAAGCTGTTGCAAGTGGTCTGTTTGTCAGGCTTTCCCTGGGCAGGCAGCAGCCACCAGACACCTTTGTGGAAAGGTGGAAGCTGGGGCAAGGAAAAGTGTGGGTTGTCTTTCATGCTTGTTGGATTCCAGTCAGTGCATGGGGACAGACTGACAGCACTGACTGTGCCCATGGGAGATGGGATGAGCTGTGGAGGCAGTATCTGTTGATCCAACAGCATTTCACCCACCCACCTGTATGGAAACAGGACCATGGCTGGGTCTGCAGTTGTGCAGTGTGGATGGAGGGAGGCACAGCTACTGCTGCTCTGGATGCAGAAGGTGGAGCTGTTACTGTCCAGCAGTTGGTGCAGTCAGGGCCCTGGCCTGGGGCAGTACAACATCCAGGATCTTACCATGCAGGGCATGACATTTAAAGAGAGAAGGGGACTTTTAAATACCAGTTAGCAGTTGAACTTAACTAGAGATGGCAGGGCAGGAGGATGAGGAGACCTTTGGAGCCTTATCCTTCTCTTCCAGCCTCATCATTCAAAGCAGCCCTAAAAACAAAGCCCAGATCCAGCCAACTTCAAGTACATCCTTGAGCTCAAGATTTCTTTATCCAAAGGATAGTCCTCCTTTCTTCAAAGATGCTGGAGCCAGTCACTAATGGTAACTAGTCAGGAAGCACTGTGGGATTCAGCCCAGAATGACAGGATGCATTTTGCAGAGGAAAACACCTGTAATTAAAATCCTAAATACATATTCAAGCATCAAAATTGGTGACATGATTTTGCAGAAGTGAGAAGCAGCGATGTCAGCAGAGGCACCAAGGTGAACCCTGTTACAGAGCTGCCACCCTGAAACAGGCCTTGGGTGGCTTACTCCCTTTTTTTTGTTCAATCAGATTCCCCCAAGTAGAATTAAAAGGTTTAGCCACTGCATGCCAGCTGCACTCTTCCCAGTCAACATACCATGGATGACACAGGTCTGCTATGCAAAAAATGTAGTGTGTAAAGAAGAGGATAAAGGACAGAAGAAATCTAATAAATACTCCATTATCTCCAGTGTATATTATGCAAAATTTGGCATGAAATCTTTATCTCACATAAACATGAAGGTCACTTATTTGTTCATTAAATTCTCCTTAGTCTACATCATTATGCTCATAGTTTTTCTTATACTTAATATAGTAGGGGTCTGCCAAACTCATTAGACATCAGCTGATAAATGGATTTGAACTCACAATCTGTTAAAAATCACATAGGCACATTAGAGCAATATTTTCATGGCTTAGAGAGTGTATACATTTAAATCTTCCCAGAGAGGATTTTGAGCATTTTTGATCCAGTGCAGCAGACTCAACACATAATTCAAGTCTGCTTGCTGTAAAAATTTACAGGCTGGGATCTTAGCATCACTAGTCATAAATCAAAGCTGTGCACTTAAAAATGTGATAGTGGCAAAACTGTTGGATAGGGTGTAAACATCATCAAGCTCATTGCCATGCAGAACTTGCATTGAAATAATGGGAGAGATATTGTTAAATGTTGCATGTATTTTCACTCTTCTGGCAGAATTTGTACACATAATATATAACCCACTGTAATTTCCAGCCTGGGCAAATCTCTGGATGAGGAAGAGCTTTCTGAAGCTGTCCTGGATTCTCACCCTGGTGTCATGACTTCAAATAAGCTTTTACATGAAACGTGGACAGAAGGGAACATGGGGCATATTTATGCCATAGTTTATGTTTCACTTACTCATTGTTCTTTATTGTAATTTCCCCCAACTGATGATAAAATGCTTATAAAGCATTGGGCTGATAATTTGCAGGCTCTCCCGCTGCTCTGTTTGTTATAAAGCTACTCATGTCTCCAGGAGAGTCTTTCTTCCTTTTGGATTTATGAGCCTAATGAACCACTGTTATTCTCCATCACAGGAGCCAGTGATGCTGTGACATTATAGCAGGAAGATTTGAAAACTTACGAGAAAGCACTTGAAACAAACTGCTGCTCTTAATAAGTGCCTCTTGTCTTCAGTGTGGTCTGAGGAAGATCTAAGTGAGCTAATGAATGATAAGAACAAACCAAGTCCTGCAATAACCCTGCAAGCTCTGCTGCAGGGTAAGCAGTGCTAGTGAGACAAATATGCTGGGATGAACACTATTTATCAGTGGCAGGATGCTGATACACAGCTTCACTGACAGGCCCACTCTGCATACAAGAGCCTGAGTCCTCAGGTCTGCTTAGATTCTCCAGATGAGGGTTGTTGGATGTATAAGAGTAAATACGATTAAATGTAGCTGCAATTAATTTAACTTTCACCTTACTGAAAGGCCTTTCACTGGAGCTCACCTGGTTGACTAGGCAACCTTTTTCCCCCCTAGGTGCTCTAGATTCACTTAACATATCTTTTTCCAGGGCTGTTCTTGACAGTCACCAAATTCATACAATTTCAAACCAAAGAAGTGGAAGGGGGGGAAAAGGGATCACTTTCTGAAGACCAGCTGCAGACTGCTGGTCACCTTGTTATTTCCATAAAGGAGCCCATTTCTGCCTACCACAGCAGGACACAATGCAGAGAAAGGCAGTACCATGGCTAGGCCAGCCCCACGCTATTTAGGAAGTTATAGGTCATAACCCACACCTCCATCTCCACTCGGAGACCATTAAGAAGCCCATGTAAAACCTGGAGCACGTGATTCATTGGCTCCCAGTGAGAAGCCCACAGTTAAAAGCATGTACTGTTCAGAGCCCCATTGTATAACCTGCTGGTATCAAAGAGACACTTCTTGGACCCAAAAATTTACTTCAGCCAAAAAAGCATGGAGAGCAGAACAGAAGCGAGTTGCCCAGTGCTCAGCAACAAGAGCAGCGCTAGACATGGAACCCAGGAGTCTTGGCTGGGAGTGCAAGTGAGACACCAGAATGCTCTGGCAAGGCTTCTGCTGTCCTTGGCTGTTCTGCTGGATTCCCAGAGACAAGTGGGTTGAGCCAGTTAAGCCATGCTGCATGTTGGAGCAGAACTTGAGAGGATGCCAGTCCCTCCCCACCCTCAGTGTCCCTGCCTGCAGAGCCAGCTGGCTCCCACAAGGCTCCAAGCAGTGTCAGACAGCTCCTCCTGACCATGGCTGGTCAGGGCTCACCTGTAGGGCCACCCTGCACCATGGGCTTCTCTGACAGTCTTGACATACCCATTGTTGTCAAGGGTGGATGTTAGAGGTGGCTAGAACTTTTGTCTGCAGGTGAGCAATCTTGCCAAAACAAAGAGACCTTCCACCACACACAATGCTTGAGCATGCTGTCAACTCCCTGTATAATTCATAAAAGCTCTGCTGTCTCCAGTTACTCTATAATCATCACATCTTCCATCATGGCACACATATCTCAGCAATTGTACCCATTACAAAACCACCAAAACATAATGGGGAACAATGACATGTTCCTTCTTTTTTTTTTCTGTGATTCAGTGGGATTGGGAACTCAGTGCAATACAGATCATTTAGCCAGCAAAACACTAGTGGAAGATGTATGGTGACATGCCAATCAGTGCTTTGAAAAGCTCAACCTAGGTGACTCTGTCTGTTAAAAAGTATTCAAAAGCCCCAATTACAATCAGTTAAAAGCAGTAAGCATGCAAATTATTTTAAAACAAACTTTAATTAATTTCAGCATATGTTTCACTTAGGTTGATTAGTCAAATCTGATTTTCTGAAAAGAAAAAATAAACATCTGCTAATGATGATTTACATATTACCACTCACATGGCCTGCAGTGTGTTCTGAGGTTCTGCACAGCACAGGGAAGCGACGTCGTGCTGTGCCCGAGACCCCCAGGCTGCAGCCACCAGGTACAGAGAGCAACAGAAATAATTCTTTGATGAAATGCCTAGACATGCCCTAAAAGAACATGATGGTGTTGATATGAACAACCATCCCAGTAAGGACTTTCCTTTTTGTTAAGGGCTCTTTGGGTGAAAAACAGGTAAAGCAGCTTGAAGTCTGGGCTCGGGAGACCCCAAACTGAAGCTCTGCACAGCCTGACCTTGGTACAGGCCAGAACTTCGAGA